CCCATTATATGACGGTGAAGTGCCGAGTGTGCATACCGCTTTAAGCTGAGTGGATTATATACTTTTTGTAAATATATATAAATATGTAATATTTACCTTCGCATATTTAGTTATTAATAAATTGTACAATATTTTTTTTTTACGCAAATCACACTCGCCAGCCCAGAGCTTAGTTCCATATCGAGTATTTGCTTTGCATCTTTTTTTTATACTTGCCACACTTGAAGTAAGAAAACAGTTGTCATGCTGATGAAATATGAGGAATATATATTTATTTATATCGAGTTAATTTTTTGCAATAAAATTCCACAGCTATATTTTAAAGAAATTTAAACGGACTAGATCGCCTTTAGATACTGGAAGGCCTGAGCTTCATCGGTTTGTTCGTTTTGACAAAAAAAAAAAAAAAAACCCGAATGTGTCTATTTCTTTACGCTTTCAAGAGCTATAACTTTTTTGCGGTTACATTATGACGTATTTAGCACTCAGAGGTACATCTACTCCCAAGCAAAGTCCAGCTCACATAAAAGCTGAGGTCAACTGACCAATGCAAATGCGTTACATACGTCAATTGGGTACTTGAGCAAAATACAATGGGCGGCAATTCTTCGAACAAAATTTTCTTAAGCTACGAGGCAGATTTCTCAATCGTTGGGGTACACGAAACTAAGCAGTTTGCCCTCCGAGGAACCTCAAGTATGCAAAAAAACTTTCCGCCTGTTGCTCTCTTGGGTCGTAGATTGAAGAACACGATTTGAACAATTTGTGGTTTTTTCAAAAGAGGTGCACAAGCCTTTGGGTTATCTGATAACCGGGGTGATAATAAAACATAGGTTGTTCCAGTTTTAATGTGAATTATTTGAATGGTATCGAAATCAGTAGAGAGCGAAATAATAGTTAGACAGCTTGCCGACAGGCAAAAGGTATCCTGCATTGATCAAGTAAAATTCATAGACATATCGCTTTCATTTTCCTATGATCATTTTATTGTCTAATAGAACGCAATAGCATCACTATCAAATTTATATTAGCAAATTATTAGTTTCAGCAAAACAAACTATAAATAAGGTTTTTAGAAACCCTTATCTCTATGTTAATACACTAAATTTCAAGTGAATCGAATCATTAATCAAATTTACTCTTATAAATCGGTCCTTTAACCATCTCCTGGAATTCAGTTAAAATTTCTTGCGTAAAAGCCCTCGCCAATTAAATACGTATACTTGAGAAAAAATCAACCAATTCGATTAAAGCGTTCTCAATTTTTGAAAAACTATACATTTTTCCAACAATTTTAATATATTAAGGATTACCCAATGAGCAAGATCGTGTATGTAAAAAATACTAGCCTCATGTCCCATTCGAAAAGTTATTCCCTTTCTCATTTGTATATAATAATAGCCCGCCAGCAATGGGCCAAGAAAATCTGGTCCCTGATTCGTGGTTTACTTTCGAAAAAAAAATTCTTTAAATGCAAAATAATTTTAACCAATAAAAACAAATTTCGAATAGATCGATCTCATGTGATCCCAGGCACTCTTCCTGAGGGAAGAAACCTTGTTCATGTACAAGCGTAGACATACCATAATATTAGAAAATCAATTGAAAAGAAAATAATTTTTTCCCTGGTCCACTTCCCTGATTTTTCTTGGATATTTCTTTGCTTTGTCTCGAGGCTAATCCAAATTGTTGGAAATTATAGAGACCCCACCTGGAGTTCTTCAGTTATAAGCGTAGTAATTAACATCACTGTCTATTACATATTAGGTTAAGTCACAAGTCTTTCATTATTTTTGCAATAGATGGCTTTATGTTTCCCCGTTTATAAGTGCAATCGGATCACGCTAGATGACGTTAGAAAGATAATATTTTGTACTATTATAAAAAAGCAAATGAGTGAAGTGTTGATCACTTAACTAAGGAGTGTTTGAGCCCATGCCAAATCCATGTCCAATAAGGCCGAAAATGCTCGTTACACATGTGAAAATCTACTGATCATAATTATGATCCTGATACTGTAACGGTACATTTTAGTTTCGTCGATTTCGCTTCGCCAATTTCGAGGTAAAAGATGCTCCATGGTGAGGAAAACAAATTGTCGAGAATATCAATAAAGTAATTAAATTCTTCGAGTCTGACATCATGCGAACACGTCTCTAATGCTCCAAACTTAAGCAAAAAATGGTTTGTAGCTACCCGGAAAAGGCTGTGTATGCAGAAAAGTTTGATGCATTAGTGCCACATGTATTAATGGGAAAAATCTCATGAACCTAATGTCAATCTGCGAATCGCTAACAGGAAGGAAATAGTGTTTCATCAGTATAGCGTGAGCGTACACAGATCGATAGCGGCTCGCCAAAAGTTCGGCGAGTTTGCTTGGCGGGTTTTCATGCATTCACCTTATAGTCCGAACTTTACACTAAGAAAATGCTAACTTTTCCTGTCCATGGCGAATGATTTGCCTGAGAAATTCGATGGTAAATAAAGATTTTAGTATAATGAAAAAAAAAGTGACTTTGGTAAAGTAAATGTAATGTTCGAAAATTGAGACGCAGCGGTCACTTGTTCGAAATTAGTTTTTAAAAGATTATATCTAACCCTTATCTTTATAATAAAGCTGAATTCTTGAACATGTGAATTAATTTTATTTCTTCTTGAAAACCAAATGTTCGAGAAATTCCCTTTACTTTCTATATATACAATATATATATATATATCATTGGGACTTTGTAACCGCTGAAGCGATTTTTGGCCCAGCTCCTGCTTCAATTTGGGTTTTTGCGTCTTGATGTTGCGCATCCGAACGACTGATGGGTTTTCCATGAGGAGCTTTTATTTCATGTCAGAAATACACTCGGAGGGGTTGACATTCCCTGCCGAGAAATCATCCATATTAGGATTTAAATATGACTAATTAATTTTAAAGAAAATAAATTTACCCATTTTAATTAAAGTACAGTTATAAACATTTTAAGCAAAAAAAAAAAAAAAGAATAATAAATTAATAAATATAACAATGAAAAATAAATCATTAAAAACCCATTGATAAATTGATAAATATAATTGATCGGAGGTCAGGTATTCCCAGTGGACTTTACTATATACATGATGTCTATGAATGTACGTAACATTAATCTAAACTGGTTTTATTTCGGATTTGATAAGGACTCTGCTTTTATTAGTTGGCTGTGATTCCTATTTTGCAAGCATACACCCAAACACATGTATGCTTGATAGCGTAATTTTAAATCAAAGAGATTAAAATTTTGTACATATGTATATATGCGTATATATGTAAAGGGTGATATTTGAACTATTATTTTGTTGGCAGCACTGCTTCGTATTTTATACCACTGTCGAAAATCTTCCGTTTGGTCTATAATTTAACCATGAATCGTCTTACAAACGCGCGCTGCGAAGCTCATTTTTGGCTTACTGTGTGCTTAAATAAGCAGAATTGTCGATTTTGGAGTGAAGATCAGCCAAAAGCATGGCAAGAACTACCAATGCATCCAGAAAAAGCAGAAAAAGTCACAGTTTGGTGCGGCTAATGAGCTGGTGGCAACATTGGACGGTATTTCTTCAAAGAAATGAGCGCTACCGGGAGATAGTATCAAACTTTTTTTTCGCCCAAATTCCAAGAGCTTGGCATGTGGTTCCAACAAGACGGTGCCACAGTGCCACATGAAACACAGCAGGCGTAGCAATGGACTTTTTGAGAGACGAGTTCGGTGAACACTTTATTTCACTTTCGGGACCGGTCATTTGGCCGCCTAAATCGTGCGATTTAACGCCTTCAGACTAATTTTAGTGCGGCTATGTTAAATCTAAGTTCTATACAGACAATCCCGTTTCAATTGACGCATTGGAGGACAACACGAAAATATTTATTCGTGAGATGCCGGCCAAAGATGTTGGAAAAAGTAAGCCAACATGGACTAAGCGGAAATATATGGACCGTACTATTGATACAAATAAAGATTTCACACATTTTTCTGAATTTTATGTGTTTTTTTTTTGAAAAACTCTTCTATAGCTGCTAAAAAATCACCCTTTAAATATAATTGGTGCTTTATAACCGCTGCAGCGATTTCCGGCCGATACTGGAAATAAAGTTATATAAATCAAGTATTTACGAACACCCATATGTTATACTATGAGGTATTTGCAGGTGTAAATACATACATACATGCATACAATGCAAAAGAAAGGGAATATGTTAGTGACGCATATCACGTTTAACACAAGAAACGGATAATAATCACAATTTGATGTATTTATTGTTAAGATTTGAATATTTACAGTTATTCGTATGAGTAATTTTTCCAAATTTCTTTATTTAGAATTTTTTTATTTTATACATTTATTAACACTTTTTCTTTTCTTAAAACTGTTTTCATAAATTAACGACTATTAATGCAATAACAATAATATTGAAAAATAACACCGTTAAAAGATCTTTCATTTACACCAAAGCCAATAGCATCTTTTTTGTTGTAATATCAGCAGACCATTTACTCACTTCAAATGCTCCATATTGATTTATTTACTCTTTTATTGTTGCTTTTTTTTGAACTACTCTCTACCCTTTTGTCTCAGCGACGAGTATTTAAGTGTTTACCCTACCGATAATGCTTATTATTATTAAGTCCATTGAAGCAATTTCCAATACAAAGTACTCGCATGTGCGAATGTATATGTACGAGTATATGCCAATATACATATATGTATGAATACTTGAACATTATACGCATGCTCGATTGGATTTGGTTATCGTGTTTATGGAACAGCGCAGATTTTGATTTATATATTTAATAAAAACCTTAAAAAGAATGAGTTTTTTTTTTTTATTAGCAATGGCATTGTAGACGGATTTGGCCACATACAAAAAGCTTCCTCGTTTTACGAATTTTTCTAATTAATAGCGTGTTCGCGTTCGATTGCCTTTGCAGTTGGTTGGCAGTTGTCGCGTTAATCGCTAAGGATATTTTACAAAGAACTTTTTTTTCATTTTGTTCGTGTTTTGTGTTTTAGCAAAATGACGGCGGAAATAAATAAAGGTGATTTTTCTATTTTTTGTTTAGTGTGTTTGAAGTGTAAATTAAAAAAAAATAGTGAATTTTTTTTTATAAAAATAGTTAACTAACTTTCAAAAAGCAAATTTGATTTTAGGGATTTAATTGGTTTTTGTAGTTTACTTTTTCCTGATATTATTGTTATAAAATAAAAGAAAAGCATAATAAAAGTGGAATACAGTAGTGAAGAATTGGTAAAATGTTATAGTCTGGCAGATTACACGATTGGATTTTTAGACACAAATAAAAATTGGCTAAAAATTGGAACAATCAATTTTTACAGCCTTCTCTTGAGGCTACTACGATTTTCCATAGGCAGTAGCAGATGGTAATCACTATAAAGCGGTTGCATAAGTGCTCCCCAACCAAGCTCTCAGAACATCTGACGAGTCACTGTCGAAGTGTGTGGACGGGCGTTGTCCTGATTAAACACGATTTGCCCCCTGTTGGTTAAAGATGGGCGTTTTTGAACGTTTTCTACCTTTACACGGACCAATTGCTGACGGTTGCAGGTCTAAATGAACATTTTAGCTGTATAGAAGCAGTTGATAGCGAATGATTCCTTGAAAATAGCACCAGTTCCGTTTGTGTCTGCTCACTGTCCTTCGACCGCTATAATTTTTGTTTAGAATTTGCTGTAAATGCGCTATTATTTCTCACTAGTCCACAGCCGCTTCGGAATTGGGTCGGGTTTTCTACGATGTAGCAGTGATTCGCAGATAGATATTCGGTTCATGAGATTTTTTCTCTCAAGTCTCTCATTACGCATGCAAACACTGAACTTCTTCCCATATCCAGCCCATTTTTAAGTGGTTTCAAATTGTTTTTAGTGAAATTTTTGGCTCCTCACCAAAAGTTCTAATTAAATACCAATATTTTAAAGGAGAAATCCTTCCAATTGGTTATTTGTACAGCAGTTCATCAGTAACGAGATTAACACTAATTACACCAACGTGTGTCCTTTATATGAGGTGAAACAATTAAGTAATGAGACTGGTTCCATAAAAACCGTGTATTTCAAAATTATTCTACAACTCTGACATCCCCTTCAAAGCAGTCCCCTTGGGCAGCTACACTACGATTCCAGCGCGTTTTCCATGCTTCGTAACGCTTCGACTGGGATGTGCAAGTTCACTTGTCACCGCCTCTTGGATGTTTTCAATCGACTCAATTTTGATCTAGGGAACAAAAGAAAGTCACAAGGTGACATAACGGGTGAATGAGGCGGTGATTGAAATATGTTGTGGCGATTCGCGTTGCCGTTATGAAGGATCCAGTTACGAGCGACGTCTGGGCACATGCTGTTGTACTTGGCGATAGTAGTCTTGATTTACGGTTTGTGCCGGTGCAAGAAATTCTTTGTGTACGATTCCCCGGTTATCAAAAAAGCTAATAATCATCGTTTTCACTTTTTACTTGCTCATGAGAGTTTTCACGCTTTCGACCCTCCTTAAACTCGTTACGCCAACAAAACACCTGGGCACGACTAAGAGCGCTATTATCATGCAGTTTTACAATTTTCGATTCGTATGTTTAGCTGGGCTTCATTTGCTGTTACAATCTATTAAAGTGCGCATTATAATATGAGCATAATAGTAAGAGCTTATCACGCTTCGATTCTCGCAGACGGCAAAGTCATACTTTTAGATTTTTTTTATTTTTGTTGAAGTAATAACTCAACATAATAATAACGCTGGCCTCAGAAGGTTTGGAGGTCTGTTGTAATTGTCATTAGATCAGTGTTCTGAGAGGTTTGTAGCTTATCCTTCTGCGTTTCGACAGTACTCGGTATCCAAATTGGTGCGACATAATTTAAGAATGGTGGGACGATATCCTTGTAAGTTTCCCTTAGTATTGCAATAGCTATGGGGTATTCACTGCCTATGTGATGCACCTATGTCCAGCTGTTGAAAATAGTTGCAGTGGATTCTAGATCACAGCCACTGAAGAAGAAAGAAAGGTCGGTAACATATTTATCTACATTTGAAGAAAGTATAACGATATCCTGGTCAACCACCAATATCGAGCACTCGTCAGCATTTGTGATTAAGGAAATGCTCTTCGGTGGTGAGGGATGCTTTGAAATATAGAAATTAAACAATAAAGAGAATAGAATAACACCCTGCGGACCTCAAATTCTACCGTTTACTATTGACAACTCATACAATTCATGGTACAGTAGTGATCCAGTGCTACCAGAACAGTGCGAGCTGTTTGGTTGAGGCCAAGAACTATCTGGGTGCTTATAGTGTGAAGTTTGAAGGTGGTGTCGGGTACGTTACGGTAGTTATGCTGATGGCCTGCCGGGCTGAATTGGTTCTTTTATATTTATCTTAGCTCGTATGAGTGAAAAATACTCAAAAGTAACATTACACGGTTTTCCAATAAGAAGTATTTTATGGATCTTCAAAGAAACTTTTTCCTTAAATATCGAAGATTTAGTTGCTTGCGTGACACTTGGCGCCGTTTTGTTTAAAGTATATGTTGCCCACACCAATACTATCCAATTCTGGTCTAAAAAAAGCAATAATAATCTTGCGATAGAGCAATTCACTTATTTTCGAAAAAGTAAGGTTCAATGACCCTGCCGCACTAAATAGCTACAGCTGCGGATGGAAATGCTTTCCGACAGTTAAACTTTGTTTGTCTTCGAGTCTCAGATGCAATAGTTTTGCTTATGATGAGTTTTCAATAAGTTTTTTATATTGAATTTTCATGCGTTATTGATGCGTGAACTGTTCTATTTTTAGTATTGATGTATATTTTTTTTACCTCTAAAAAGTCAAAAATTACAGTTTCAAAAGTGACATCTACCGCAATAGGGTATTCAAAATAGTGCCTCTCATTGCGTTCTTTGTTTGGCAAGCAGGCAACGTTTCAAAATCTTTTCGATATATCCAAAGCCATTGAGCTGGCCTTAGTCTCCATTTTCTAACTATTGTATATAGTTGGACTAAGTTGGTGTCGACAGATAACCAAAAAGGAATGCCAAAATTCAGTCGCGTCCCCTTAGTTTATTTAATGCTTTTTAATAATTTATTATTTATTTTGTGTATTTATGTGAAAGTACTTATGTGCTTGACGCAACCCAGAAGTTACAAGTAATGCGTAAATATAGATTACCTCAAATCTTGGCATATTAATCTAACGGTTATAAAGATTAAAGAGCCATTGTTTGATCGCTTACGTTTTATTATTGAATTCAAGTGACAGCCTTTGATAAATAGAGAATGAAATTTTGTATGGTGGCAAAGTATGAAAAAAATAATAATCAGGAAACAAAACGTGCTTTGAAGTGGTATTAAAATAATGCAATGTACAGCTAAATGTTTTTCCATTCCTTCTAGTAATTTGAATACGTATTTTTCAACCAGTTGAGGCTTGATAAAATTTGTAAAATTTTTAGATGAAATCTTCATAATTTTAGGTGGTGAATCGGTGTACAAGTAAATCGTTCAGAATATTTCGTTTTGTTCATTAATATTTTAATTCAAATCATTTTCTTTCTCATTCTTTAGGTCCACTGCTCGGCCAACGCCATCTACAGGTGTTTTTGCTCTTCACCTCGATTGTGGTGAATTATATTGCGAAATTTAATGCGAGTGTTGCTGTAGTCGCCATGACGGATGCCGAAACAACAAACCCCAACTTTCCGGTGAGTAGAAATAATGCAAACGATACTATTTATTTACCAGATATTGTATACCATATACTCGTACATTGGCAACTAACGTGTACTCGCTTTTCTTCATACAGGAATATGATTGGACTGATTGGCAAAAACAGTACATACTCTCCAGTTTCTTTTGGGGCTACTTTATAACGCAATTCCCGGGCGGTTATTTGTGTCGCCGCTTTGGCGCTAAACGCACTATGCTTATTTCAACGCTGGGCTCCTCAGTTTTGGGCTTGCTACCGCCATTATGTGTCAGCTGGGGCGGTTGGGGTGTTTATTGCGGCTTACGTGTGATCCAAGGTTTCTTCCAGGGCTTTATGTTTCCCTGCGTACATGCACATCTCGCCGCCTGGTGTCCGGTGAGTGAGCGCAATCGTCTCGGCGCTTTGGCGAATACAGGCATTGAATGCGGCACACTGCTCTCGATTTTCGTCAGTGGTATTATTGCATCGGGCAGTTTAGGTTGGCCCGGTTTATTTTATGTCTCTGGTGGTCTGGGTGTAGTTTGGTGTGTCGCTTGGATATTTTTAGCCGCTAATCAACCGAATGAATCGAAATTTATTTCAACTGCTGAATTGAATTATATTAACGCTGAGAGACCAGTAACCAAAGAATTGGAAGCTGGTGAAGTGGAAGGTAAAGTTCCAGTGCCATGGCGTGGCATTTTAACATCTCTGCCAGTTTGGGCTTTGGTTGTTGCACGTTCGGCACATTCATGGGGCTTCTCCACGCTGCAAGCTGAAATTCCTACCTATATGAAGGGCGTACTGAATATGGACATGAAGAAGAATGCACTTTACTCTGCGCTGCCTTATTTGGCCATGTGGTGTATGTCTTATGTTTATTTAATTATATCCGATGTGCTGCTCAATCGTAAAATACTCTCCCTCACCGGCATACGTAAGACTTTCAATACACTGGCGCTTTGGACTCCAGCTGTTGGTCTAATTGCCGTGGGCTTCTTGGGTGAGGATCAAAAGACTTTGGCCGTTGTATTAATGACTGCAAATGTGGGCATAAATGCGGGCTCAACTATTGGCAGTGCACTGAACACGATCGATCTGTCGCCCAATTATGCGGGCATACTTATGGGCATCGTCAATTCGGCGGCCAATGTGGTACCAATACTCACACCGCTGTTGGTGGGCGTGATAGTTCAAGACCCGGTACGTATCAGAATTTGCCTTTACATCTGAATAATATTAAATATTTATTTTTTTAATTCCTCTACAGAATAGTCGGACACAATGGCAAATAGTGTTCATCATATCAGCGGCTGTCTTCTTCCTGGGTAATTTGTTCTACTTAGTTTTTGGTAGAATGCAATCGCAACCATGGGACCATCCCGATTATTTGCTTCCCAAAGGAAACGGCGGCGTGCTGCCCCCTGCGGAGAAAAATGAAGAGACAATCGTTCGGGAGAAACGGAAAAGTCTGGAGTCACAAAAAGTAGCGCTTGGATGAGGCGATAAAAATATAGTGTTAAATAAGTTAAATAAAAAAATTAAATTAAGTTATTATATTATTTAGAAATAAAATATTAAATAACAATTTTGTGTAAAAGTTTCTACTATTTTTTTGAAATAGCCTAAAATTTAAATTATTTAAAAAAAAGAATTATATTAAATAATTTAAAAAAAATAAATAAATTAAATTAAATTAAATACAGGAAAAAAAGGAAATAAAGTAAAATAAAATCCAACAAATTTAAACTAAATAAAATAAGTAAAACTAATTAAAATAAAATAAAACAAATAAAAATTAAATAAAACTAAATTAAACAAAAAAAATATCATAAATAAAATTTAAATAAATAGTATAAAACAAAATAATATGAAATTGATTACATAAAATAATATAAAATTAAACTAAATAAATTATATAAAATAAAAGAAAATTAAATATAATAGCATAAAAAGAGATTAAATTAAACAATTTAAATAAAGTTAAATAAAAAAAATTAAAAAATAAAAAAAATATAAAAAAATAAAATAATATAAAATAAGATAAAATAAAATGAATAAAATAAATTTCAAAAATAACATAAAATAAATTAAATAAAATACAAAAAAAATAATAAACAAAAAATAACTAAAAGCAAATACTACAAAATAAAATAGATTAAATAAACAAAGAGAAAAAAATAATCAAACAAAAAAGTAACTAAAAGAAAATAATACAAAATTAAATTATATTAAAATATATTATTGTAAAGAAAAAAAATTAAAATATCAAAGAAAAGTAAATTAAAATAGAACGAAATAAAATTTTATTTAATTGATTATTATAAAATTAAATTAAAAAAAATCGGGATCAGGGAGGTAGCAGCAATATACGTATTAAGCTGTTGTGTACTTTGTTAATTATTTATTGCCGGTGAATTTCATAGACAATCTGGCACATACGGGTACTATGAAGTCGTTTTATAGCTTCGAAATGGTATACACCGTGAAACTATTTGTTTAGTTTTAAGTAAATTTATCATCAAACGCGGTGAGTAAACTTATATAAATACAATAGTCATCAGTTAGTGACATAAATAAATATATTTACATCCGCTTGTGAATTTTTACTGTTCACAAGTGTTTTGCATTTGGCGACAGCTGCTTTTAGAAGCAAATTGAATGGAAATAAATAAATTCATACATGCACATACATACGTAAAAAACTTGAGTCTCGTGTTGTATTATTTTATAATTTTATTTGAATTAATTTTTAACCCTAATTTTATTATGGCGGCAGATGATATACTTTGATTTTTGTCTAACAATTTAATAAGTATTCAGAAAACTTCCGTTTGAAAATCAAAACTGCCTCTTAAACAAATGAAAATGGTAAAGGAAAAAATGAAAAAAATTCCAGCGAAATGTTTATGCATATGCATAAACCTTACATACATATAAATAATATTTATTTATTAGCTAAAAATGTTTAAAAAAAAACTTCGAATTCGTTGTTAATCATAGAATTTTTTTTCTAATAATTTCTTCATATAATATTGATTTAAAATTTTAATAGCTGACCAAACAAACTAACCTTCCCAATTTCACTTTTTACTCGCTGACGAGAACACAAAAAATAATAAAAACATGAACAAAACAAAACAACAAAACTTTTTACAACACTTACATATATTTATTTTCGGCGTCACAACAAACACTTGTGAACTCGACTAATTATTATTATTTTTCTTTAATTATGTCTAACAATTAGTCGAAAATCAATTTCATTGCTGTTTGGAAGAATAATGGGAATATTTTTTTCATATTATTTTTGGCTTATTATTACGCGTGAATTGTTCGAACCAGATTGCTGTGAGGTCAATGAATTTGCTTAGTAATAATTTTTAGAAATGAACTGGATTTGTTAGGTATAAGTGCAAACATACATACGTAAGAATTGCCTCAATGACTGATTAATTTTTAATTATTATTTTTTAATTATTCTATATATATATACTATACTGGAAAACCTGGAAGGGCCTCTGAATGCTTCAGAGCGTGGCAAATTGGAATAATATGGCAGGGTATATAGGGTATGTACTGCGCAAGAAAAAAACAGGCTCTAGACGCAGGTGCTGAGATGTAAATCTCAATACAAGTCATATGGGACCCCACATTGAAGGAATATGATTGCGGTACCAAGATGGGCGGCGGTTCAGCAGAGGTTTGTTTTTTAGTGATGTAACGACATCATAATGATGGCACGGAACGAATTTGTCTTAAAAACAACCAAAAAAAAAAATCAAATTAATTTATTTTATTTTAATTTCAATTAAATGACAAAAATTAAATTTAAATAAATTTTACTGCATTTAGTTTGACTTTGGCGGAATTTAAATTTAATCGATTTGATTTCTTTATATAATTTTATTTTTCAAATTTTCTAATTTTTTTCAACTATACTTAATTTTATCATTTTTTTTATTTTATTCTTATTTATTTCTTTATTTTATTATCATATGTATTTTTGAAGTTTAGTTTAATCTTTTTATGTATTATTGTTAGTTTTATTTCATTTAGTTTAGTCAGTTTTTCTTAACGATGAACCCAGCATTACCACTCAACCGGCGGAGAGCCACGGCAGAAGGATAATCAAAAAATCCAACAGAATGGTAATCGAACACCACTGACAATACGGGCTGCCCTGAACACAGAAGGTCGCGGCTGTTTTGACCTCTTACACTAAACAGCCATAGATTTGCTAATCAGTTGCTATAAATTAATTATTGTATTTAGAGCTCGTAGTAAGTAGGTTTTAATACAGAAAACGAGTGGTAGTCAGTGCTGGTGGAGAGAGCTTTAAAAGCATTCCTCAAACATCTCAAAAGGGGTTGTGCATTTCAAACTTTGTTCTGCATGAACACAGTGAAAGGGATCTAAAGTGTATCGAGTCAGATAAGTTAAGCTCGCTAAGTAAGAATGGGCTATTGATGACAGCTTTTATTTTAAATTAGATGAACAATGCGTAGGTCATTGAACTCCTTAGCATCCAACGTTTAACGAAAGGTAAAACGTCTTTTGTTTTATTACACCAAGCATTTATATGATTTCCGAAATGAGGCTTAGCGTCTATTGTGACACCTGAATCGATGAAGTCAGTAATTTCTCAAACATTTTGATTATGTGTCATATAGGCAAAGAATTCGAAAGATTTTCTGGAGAAACACATTTATTTACACTTATTTATTATTATTTACTTTATTTCATATTTTTTGGTCAATCTATTTCTTTATTTTTTTATTCATTAAAAAACTTCTCGCTTTTTTATTTTAATGTCATCCTCAACAACAACTACAAGTGAGCTTTATTGTTACGAGCTGCATTATTTACAGACTCAATGTTCGTGTTTAAAAACCAACTGGTTTACAAAATCATGATGTAAAATTGGGATTGTTAGAAAAATTGCGTTTGTTTGGACAATTTTAAATCAAAGTCACGTAAGGCTGCGTAGTGAACGGATGGAAGATAGAGTACCTGGTGAATTATTTAAATGAAATTACAGTGAAGAGAGTTATACAATATTTGCTTCTTGAAAATGATTAATAAGACCGATGTTGAAAAAGAAAAACGTATGAACGCATTATTTAATTACAATTATAAAAAAAAATATAAAAGAAATATATAGACTTTTAATGATAAATTTGATGTACATCTCGACGGATTTTCATTTATATATACATATATGTACCAATTAAGTACTAGTGTTGAACAGTTCCGTCGCTTTAATCTTAATATATAAAAAAAACCACATCCTTGTGTATGTTTCGAAATAACTCAAAAACGAGTCAACTGATGTACATGAAAGTTGACATATATATTTTATTTGGTCCAACTTAGATGATACGATAAATATTATTTAAATTAATGGTCTCAATAATTAATAATTAATAATAATTAATAATTAATAATTAATAATTAATAATTAATAATTAATAATTAATAATTAATAATTAATAATTAATAATTAATAAACAACTGGTTAAATTCTCGTGTCACAGTTTTAGTAACAATACTCCTCCGAAACAGCTTGACCGATTTTAGTGAAATTTTATGTGCATATTCAGTTGGTCTGAGGATAACGGAATAAATATTTTTCAATCCCCTTAGTGATAAGTCTAGTACAAGCTAATTTTTTTTTGTTTTTTTCGGGCAACATTTTTTTTTTAATTTTTTCATCCTTCAATTACCAGCCCCTATTTTTTAAAGCCAAAATTTTATACTTCATCCTTTGGTCTGAATTTTTGTATGCCAAGCCTGGCTCGTGTGTAAGTACGTGCTACGAGCTATTATACGTTCAAGCAAAGATACGACTGCAATTTTCGCGACGAGCTTTGTGTAGCGAGGAATATATTAAGACAACTTATTATTTCGATTATAGATGCTCGAAAAGGGGTTTTTGTCAGTCAATGTAGAAATACACCATGGCGTGTAGCCGCGTCTGCTATTTATATTTATATAATTAAATTAAAATTATAAAAAAAATGAATTTTAAAAATTAAAAACATTTTTCGTGTTTCAGCCGTGCAATTCGGTCAACGTCATGTGCAAATTTTCCTGCTCTTCACTTCGATTATTGTCAATTATGTGGCGAAATTTAATGTTGGCGTAGCTGTGGTTGCCATGACTGATGCTGCCACGACTAATCCCAATTTCCCGGTATGTCTCATTTTTTCCTTCGAAACCTTTTAATTTATACTGATTTTTGTTAAATTTCATACTTTTATATAGGAATACCAATGGACGGACATGCAAAAATCCTACATACTCTCCAGTTTCTTTTGGGGAAATTTCATAACTCAATTTCCGGGTGGTTATCTGTGTCGACGTCTTGGCGCTAAACGCACTATGCTTATTTCGACACTAGGCTCCTCGCTCTTGGCACTATTACCACCGTTATGTGTCAGCTGGGGCGGTTGGGGCATCTACTGTGCCATACGCGTTCTGCAGGGTCTCTTCCAAGGATTTCTATTCCCCTGTTTACATGCACATCTAGCCGCTTGGTGTCCCGTGAATGAACGAAATCGTCTTGGCGCATTGGCGAATACAGGCATTGAATGTGGCACGCTCCTCTCTATGTTTATCAGTGGCATGATTGCGGCGAGTAGTATAGGTTGGCCAGGGCTATTTTATGTATCTGCCGGCATCGGTTTGGCTTGGTGTGCTGCGTGGCAGTGGTTGGGCGCAAATAAACCGGCTGAATCGAGGTATATTTCAGCAGCAGAACTTAATTACATACAAACATCACAAAATCTCAATGAGCAAGTAGAACTGGATGAAATTGGACAAAAAATTCAAGTACCATGGCATGCCATTTCAACATCACTTCCCTTTTGGGCTTTAGTTGTTGCCCGTTCGGCACATTCGTGGGGATTTTCAACGTTGCAAGCAGAGTTGCCTTCGTACATGAAAGGCGTACTGAATATGGATATGAAGAGTAATGCTTTATACTCAGCGCTGCCTTATCTGGCAATGTGGTGCATGTCGTACGTGTACCTCATTATATCGGATATATTGCTAAGTCGTAATATAGTTTCGCTAACCGTTATACGTAAGACTTTCAACACATTTGCTTTCTGGTTGCCGGCTATTGGTCTCATATGTATAGGCTTATTAGGTGAGCAACAGAAAAGTGTTGCTATTGTTATAATGACAATTAGCGTGGGTATGAATGCTGGTGCCACAATTGGCAGTGCGCTGAATACAATAGATCTCTCACCAAATCACGCGGGCATATTGATGGGCATCGTGAACACAGCAGCTAATGTAATACCGATATTAACGCCATTGATTGTCGGATTAATAGTATCGGATGAGGTGAGACGCATCTGCTACTACTAATTTGGCCATTTTTAATTTTTTAATTTAAATAAACTAGTTTATATTATTTCGTTTCATTTAATTTTATTTAATTTTCATTAATTTTAGTTTATTTTATTTAAACATATTTTTACTTCAATTTATTTTAATAAGCATCAATAAATTATATTTTATGATCTAATTTATTTTAAATAATTTAGTTTAAATTTTACTTTGCTATACTTCATTTTATTTGGTTTTGTTTTACTTAAATTCATTTTATTTTATTTTCATTCAAATAATTTAATTTAATTTATTTAATTTCCTGCTAAATTACTAAATTTAATGTAGTTTGCTGTCAAATATTTTAAATTATTTCAATTTTTTGATTTGAATTTATATGTTTTAATTAATTTTTGTTTTATACTTATCTAATTTTTTAATTTTTCTATTTTTTTTTATTATTTTATTTTGCAAGTTTTACTTTTTTATTTTATTTGGTTTCATTTTCTTTGATTTGATTTTGTTTTATATCATTTAGTTTAACCTAATTTAATTTAATTTTATTCTGAATTTTTTTTGTTTTATTTAGATCTTTTTACTATATTTCTTTTTAAATTTTTTTTTTGCTGTTATTTATTTTAAGTGATTTTTATTTATTGCGTTTTATTTTTTATTTTACTGTATTTAATATTTTTTATTTATGTTATTCTATTTTGTTATTTCGCTTTTTTAGTTTATTATATCTTACTGTTTTATTTTATTTCATTTATTTTTTTATTTTATTTTATTCTTCTTTTATTATGTTTCTCTTTATTTAACTTATTTATTTATTTATTTGTTCTGTTTTATTTTATTTGATTCACTGTTAGTTTATTCCACTTTTTTACCTTTTTTTATTTAATTTTTTGATTAGAGTTTAATTTATTTAATTTGCTTGATTTTTTCGTGTTTTTTACGTGAATTTCTTGTATTTTAATTCATTGTATTTTGCTTTTTATGTTATTTTATTTTAGTTCAATTTACTTTTTTGATTTTATTTGATTTTGTTTTATGTAATTTTACTTTGATTTAATTAATTTTGAGTTCATTTGATTTCATTTATTTTCCGCTTTATATTATTTTGTTTTAATTTCGTTTATATTGTTACAATTTATTATACTTTGCATTCATTATTATATTTTCTTTTTTTATTCCTTATTTTCTTTTTTTTAGTTATACTTAAATTTATAAAATTTTTTTATTTGATTTGATTTTGTTTTATTTTTTTTTTTAATTTTATTTTATATCATTTTATTTTAGTTTATTTTTTATTTAATTTTATTTTCTTTATTTTATGTTAGATTATTATTGTGATTTATATATGATTTTCATAGTGTTTAATTTAACTGTGGCTCGATTAGTTTAATTAAAATAAATTTACCATAATCTATCATATTATTTTTAATTTTGCAGCATAATCGCGTTCAATGGCAACTAGTCTTCATAATAGCAGCTGTGGTTTTTGCCTTGGGAAATCTTTTCTACTTAATATTTGGTAAAATGAGTTTGCAGCCTTGGGATGACAGAGATTTTCTATCAAATAAAGGACTGCAAAATATTCAGTTGTCGGTTAGCAGATTTAATAAGAAATCGAATGGGGAAGGGCCAATAAATGGAGTAGTGATTTCTTAGCAATAGATAGATCTATTTATACATAGGTGATATTTTTAGAAATGTTAAGCGTTTCGTATCTTTATTTGATATTTGGGATTTGATATTCTCATAATTATAAGCTTTTACTTGTTACATTTTAACTAAACCATAGCAGACTAGTTTTCTCTTATATTGTTTAGCATATGAAGGTAACATACAAGCTTATGATTAGCTTTCACTGAAGTATAATAACAGAGCTTGTTTAAATTAATTGAGCTTTAAGCTCTTCATTCTGTTAGTTAACAGTTAAAAGGCTAACTCTGGCTCACCAGTTTTACCTCTCAGTTCTTATGCTTGTGTGTTATTCAAGTGGACACTCAATCAAAGTTGAATTATTTGTTTGTATGTGTGTTTCTTGGACAGGTGTTGATTGTTGTCAAATAAAGATTAATAATAAAGTATTTTTTAGCATATTTCACATATGTAAATAAAACATTTATTTATAGATATACTCATACTCACGTACATATTTCAGAATTTTTTAATCACGTAGAAACAATGCCCAAAATGATTTGCTAAACATTATTAGCATAAATATACATAGAAAGTTAAAGTTGAAGAACTGCCGTTAATTGATTATTTGCTTTTGAAGTTTTTTGTAAAAGTACCTCAAGAGTAAAAAACTAATCGGTCTTGTTTTATTTTTTACTATATAAAGAAATCTAAAATCCGTCTTTAAATTAAAAAATTATGTAAGTAAATTATCACTTTTAACCTAGCTTCCACTACATCTTCATCCCTAATGCTTTGCACTAAAAACTTCATCCAGCTTTTTTATATCAAAATCATTTTTACTCTTGGAATTTGTATTGGCTTCTCATTAAAGAACACAAAGAAGCACTCAAAATAATATTTTTTCTCAGATAAAATTATGAAATAAAGAAAAAAATAATTAAAATTAAATGAAAAATGAAATAAAATAAAAAAAATTCAGATAAAATAAAATAAAATAAAATAATGTAATATAATAAAGAAAATTAATTGAAAAAAAAATAAAAAAATTGTATAAGCAAGTAAAAATAAAAAATAATAAAAAAAAAATACAAAAATTAATTTTATTTATTAATTTTAAAATTAAATTGAAGTAAACTAATGAAATTAAATTAAATAAAAAAATAAATGAAATTAATTAAATTATGAAAATTATGTAATGGTAAGTAAAATAAATTGAAATAAAATGAAAAACTAAAGTTAAAGTAAATAATAGGCAAAATAAAATAGTAACGTCACTTGCAGACTTTATAATTAATTACCCAATTTTAATTTGAAAACCCAGTAAGCAAACTCAACTATCACGTTCTAATCGATGAGTATTTTCATGTGCATATCGTTTTGTCGATTGCAAATTCCATATGTTCTATGTTACTTTTATTCTTTGTTTACTTACAATATAATACATTCGCATTTATTGACATCTTTCATTTGCATATATAAATCTATATATATATTCAATACAATTGGCGCTTTGTAACCGCTGAAGCGGTTTTTTGGCCATGCTCCTCCAGCAATAAATGGAAGACCAACGGTTTATACTAAGTCACCTCGAAACTTACTTTAAAGAGAGATGTCGGAAACTGCCTCGAAGGCGGTGACATTCCCAACCCTTAATTTAAATAATTAAATTAATTATATATTTTTATAATATTCGGATATATGCAAGTCGAACACCTGCCCTTCTAATGGACGCACATACTCGTATGTATATGAGGTTATTAGCCTGGTAACTAATTTGTTTAATACATTATATTTATTTAAAAGTCATTGCGATATCCCATCTTATATGCTGTTTTAGTATGAGTGCACGTCCGCTGCCTGCCTATCAAAACATTTATCGCACGAAGCGCGGGTACTTCTCACTAAGTATTCGGAATAGAGCCAATAAATACATGAAATACATTGATAATTACGCGAAGTTGTCAAGAAACTTTCGCCTAATGAAGTTTGGTGTGGATTAAATTTGTGAGATCTTGAAAGTGAAACTCACTAATTAAATAATAATAATTCGAAAGGGTGTTTAATGGGTTGAATTTTTTAGAAATTATTTATTGAATAAAAGAAAAGAGAAAGTGCAAAAATGGGTGACGAAAAAGTTGCTGCAGAAATTGATAAAGGTTGGCAATTTATCGAAAAAATATTAAAATAGAAAATTCAAAAATTAATATTGGACTTGTTCCTTTTTGTGAGCTCTTGGAGGCTGTAAGTTGGCATAAAATTAAAAGCAAACAATAACACGTGGATAATTAAAAAAAATTGATACGAAAAAAGGAAATAACTAACAAAATATATAATTAATTAAATAAATGAATATTTAAAAAGTTAAATAAATAACTATACAAAAAACAAAAATAAAAAAGTAAATAGATTAATATTTAATTAAAAAATAAATAGCTAAATAAATTATAAAAAAATAAAAACCATACATAAATAAATAAATATATAAATAAATAAAAAAAAAATAAATATCATAAGTTATTTACTGCAATGTAAAGCATGTAAATAGGTTAGTACGCCAGTGAATAACTAATTAAATAGATAAATTAATAAATATCTAAGTAAATAAATAATTATATTAATTAATATGTAAATAAATAAATAAATAGGAGAAAAGATAAATACAAAAATATAATAATATAAATAAATATATAAGAAAGATACATATTTTCTTAATAATTAAACAAAAAATATTTAAGTTAATTAATAAAATAAATAATTATATTAATAATATATATGTTAAATAATGAGTTAATAAATGAGTAATTTAATGTAAATAAGTAAATAAATAAATAAATAAGTAATAAAATTAGATAAATATATAAATATTGTATAACCATTCGAATAAATAAATGAGAAAGAAAATATTGTAAATAATTAAACAAAAAATGATTAAGTAAATTAATAAAATAAATAAGTAGAGTAATAAAATATATTAATGATTAATAAATAAGTAAATAAAAATATAAATAAAATGAATCATTAAATAAATAATTGAAATGAGACAATCAATGATTTGACCAATTAAACTACTTATTAATAAATTTAATATTATAAGAAATAAAAATACTAAAATTAAAAAAAGTTTTAATATATAAAAAATATTCCAAATTGTCGCCTTGTAACTGCTGAAGTGGTTTTGTCCTACAATTTGTCGTTTTGCGTCTTCATGTTTTTCCTACAAATGGAGGGATCTACCGTTTACACTAAGCCTCCTCCGAAAAGCTGATGGTTTTTTTTCATATGAAAGCTTTTTTTCATTCAAGAAACGCACTCAAAGCGGTTGACATTCCCTGCCAGGGGGCGACCACAATTAGAAAATTTAGTTTAATTTTTTATTTAAATTAATATCTATAACTTTTGGATGTTGCTTGCACGGGGACTTGCGCCCGAGCCTTCCGAATGGCAGTACGTAATGCTAACCACTCGGCTACCGCGGCCGCAAAATTTTTTTTGCATATTAAATAATTACTCACCACAATGCGAACAGTATTTTGAAAATCAATTTTGCTTACGAATATAAGTATTTGCCACCATTTACATACATCCGAATGTACTTGCCTATCAGAAACGTCAAACTCTTGTGGAAAATTTTTTAAAAACACATTCCGGAATATAAGTTTGCGCAAAATCCCGCTAAAATTTTGGTTGACTGACATCTCTAAGTACTTCATACAAAATGTAAGAACTTATCGAAAGTTCTGCACTTCTGACATTATCAACGTCAAGTATTGTTTAAGTATGTAGATGACGTTTAAGTACTTATATTCCATTGGACTACTGTTTTTCCTGATTAGATCTTACTTTTGAGCTTTTGGTTTTGTGCCTAATCATGAATGAACTTTTTATCTATTTGAGTAATTAACGTGACGCTTTTTCAAAATTACAATGATTTTGGACACACCCACTTTCAGGCTGATTCTCTAGAAGGATGATCGTCTGAAAAAACTTTGTTTCTGTCAAGGGAGAGAAACAATTTGTGCATTATGATCAAAACTTTACATCCCACAATTGGCTTTTTGTCATTGGTATCTCAACGAGTCAGGCCGCGAACCAAGGGTGTGACTCGATGACTTCTGGAATATTTTTTGATGTTCTACGATATTCTTTCACTAAGAGTACTCGATTAACAAGCACGCTTAGCTTTATTTTAAGGAATCACCAAGCTGTTCTGTATATACGGCAGTAGGCCAATATTTACCAGAGGCATTGTCTTCACTTTCCCGGTTAGTTGCAAGTTATTAATTCTCGTAACTTCATGGTGCTTACCAAAATTTGTTGGACTGCCTGGACTGGACATTATTTGTGTTACATTCGAAATTCCAAAATATATGTTAATTTCTTCTTCTCTCATACTTAGGTCCACGCTTTGGTGTACGTCATATCCAGACACTTTTACTCTTCCTCTGCATTACCGTTGCTTATTTGGGTCGTTTGAATATCTCGGTGGCCATTGTGGCTATGACGAATGCTGCGAGTACAAATCCCAACTTTCAGGTAACTTTGTTATACATATGTAAATATAAATAACCAAACTCTAACTCTTTTCAATTCAATTTATTCAAGGAATTCGACTGGACAGAAAAAGAGAAAAATTACATAATTTCCTGCTTCTACTGGACCTACGTGGTCGCACAATTTCCCGGCGGTTATCTGAGTAGGCGCTTTGGCGCCAAAATTTTAACAGGCATTTGTCTTTTCGGCTCAGCCGTGTGCAGTCTGCTTACACCCTTCCTCGTGCCGTGGGGTGGTTGGCAAGTTTTTTGTGCTATACGCATCATGCAGGGTCTCTTTCAAGCGCCAATCTTTCCAGCCATACATCAACACATTGCAAAGTGGTCCCCAGCAGATGAACGTAATATGCTCGGTGCGCTCACTTATTCTGGCGTTGATTGCGGCACGGTGTTGGCTATGCTAGTGAGCGGTTTGATAGCGAGTAGTACGCTCGGTTGGCCAGGTATTTCGTATATTTCAGCAGGCCTTGGCTTAAGCTGGTGTGTGCTGTGGTTCATATTAGCAGCGAATGATCCACCATCCTCACGTTTCATAACGAAAGCGGAATGCGTATACATTGAGGCATCAATGAAGCGGGACGATGATTTTCATAAGAAGAAAATTCCAGTGCCGTGGTTAGCCATGTTTACATCGGTGCCCTTCCTGGCGTTGCTGGTGGTGCGTTGTGCCGAGACGTGGGGCTTCAGCACTATACAATCGCAAATACCGTCATACATGAACGGCGTATTGCATATGAATATTAAGAGTAATGCATTCTTCTCTGCGCTGCCGTATATAGCGCGTTGGATTATGTCCTACACATATCTCTATTTCGGCAATATGGCCGTGCGAAAGGGTTGGCTCACGTTGACGGTTATGCGTAAGATTGCAAACACGATGGCGCTATGGTTGCCGGCACTTATTATGATTGGCGTGGGTTTTCTCGATGACAGAAATAAGTCGTTGGCGATTGCACTGATGGTTATGAATGTCGGTTTCAATGGTGGCGCTACCGTTGGTTGTGTACTAAGCACAATCGACTTATCACCAAATCACGCGGGTGTTGTCATGGGTATTACAAATCCGGTAGCTAATGTTGTGCCCTTGATTACGCCATTAGTTGTGGGTGTCATAGTAACAGATGTGGTGAGTTAAAGGATTTTGGTTAAACCTTTTGATTGTTATTTTAATTTCTTCTTTTTTCCTCTCTCCCCAGCAAAATCGTTCTGAATGGCAAATTGTATTTATTATTGCAGCTGTTATTTTCTTTGTTGGCAATTTAATATTCGTACTATTCGGCTCTGCCGAAACCCAACCATGGGATGACCCCGATTTTTTGCGTAAAGATAATGTGGAAGAAACAATTAAAATCGATCGACCGAAGAGCGTTTTTAAGGAAATTTTTGGTGCGGATGATAAGGTGCTAGAACACATTGAGGGCTGGCCGGTGGAGAAACGAGGAAATGAGAAATCAAACGAAGAAGAAAACGAAGCAGCTAAACGATATTAATATTAATATATTTAAAATTAAAGAGGCTCCAATTAGGTCGGACCAAAAATACACACATATAATATAAGTGAAATTATGCCATTGAATGCTAAAAAATGTTGAAAGTATTATATAAATTCCAGAAAAAAAAATAAACAAAAAAATTTTTAAGATTTTTCCTAAGAAATATTAAATGTCAATCGGTAGAGCAACCTACTTTTGTGGGTGCTTATTCTAAGGACAGAAAGTAAAAGTTTAAATTTCTTTACCATTCCTCTCTCTGCGGGTCTTCAATTTTTTGATGCCATTCTCGAAGTTGTTTTTCGCCAACTCCTTTGCTCACTTCATCATGCCCTCTTAGGGGTAGTAGGCTGAAGGTGCCGGAATACGCTGGATGGTTCAGTATATCCCATTGGAATGAGGTGAACAACTTCTTCGTGCCCCCGGCAGTGTGTGATCTGTTATTTTCGTACACTAGCCACACTCCTTTTGTCTCCTACGATTCATAGCTTTGTCACCATATGCAGTTTTCATCTCATTACAAATATCAAAGGAAAAAAAATGGATCTGAATTGTTCACAAAACGTGTTGTTCGCATGGACTCGCTCCGGTCTTGAAACCTTCCGCAAGTAGCCGGATCTTTTCATAGAATTAGCGAGCATTACGCTTGTCGAGCCCTTGGAATTCACTTCTTTGAAAACGGCCTGCAAATCAAGAATACAAATACTTCCTGGCAGCCTAATCTCTCCCCCTGGCGCTGTTAATTGGACACCAAAATCGTGATATTGTACACCGTTATAGCATAGTCTGATATATAATGCCAAAAAATTAAATTTATTTGCATTTATTTTCGGGAACCAGAAGCATTTCGTTAAGTGGTGTACAACATATAAAACATCAAGGCAACGTGTGGTCTGGTCTTCTGCTGTTTGCCTGTCTGTTGATTTGTGAATTTCATGCATACAGTAATCATCAGCTAACATTACAGGGTACTCTAATTACAGTATATTTAATTTGTTTTGAAAAAAGCTTGCCTATAATGTCAGAAAGACAAACCATAACTTCTAAATTCCACTTTCAACGCCTAAAAGTGTGTTAATAATAATAATAAAAGCTTTTTATTACCTACACACATTAGGTCACTCCATTTAGTATACAAGATATTATGAATTTTTATGTTAATTTTTAAAATTTTTTCAAATAGTTTTTTTTTTTTTTTAATAAATACAATTCAAGCTTGTCTTCTTTTATTTTAGTTTACCGAATAAAGGCATTTTTTAACGAAATAAATTTTTTCCTAATTTAAAATATTAAATTTTTTCTCAAACAACGTGTGTTATGACAATGAATTCCACTTTAAGTTTTACAAATACAATCATTTTCCATACGTTGCACACAATTCTTCGTTTCTCTTTAGAACTTAAGATATCAGTAGTCATAATTCATATGAATGTTTCAAAAAAAAAAAAAAAAAAAAAAAAAAAAAGAATGCGTGGAAGCAATGGAGCGATTTCGCCGCGGTCTTCAGCTCTAAATACATTTAATCGAATTGGCAATGGTTTTCCTATCAATGTAGATCAGTTTAAATAAATAGATTGCGTGCTTTAGAAAATTATTAAGTAGTAAAGTGGCAGTGACTGAAAGAACTAAATATGTGTAATTTCTAAAAGTGGGAAATTCTTAACTCAGTTAAAGAATCTCAAAAAATAGATCAATATAAATAATATTCTAAAAAGTATATAAATAATATAAATACAGTATGACTGAAGAACCCGTTGGAAAAGATATTAAAAAAGGTTGGTAAAAATGAATATCTTTTTATATATAAAATAGGTAAATAGTGGTAAATCGTTTAAAAATTGATCTGGTGTAAAACTGTGAGAAATATTTGAATTAATGGAGAAAACCCAATTTTACGTTCCTTGATGCTCTTTTAGCAGTTTTTTAACCCGAAACTTCATCTCTGCATATTTCCGCTGTAGACTATATGAGATAGTCTTCCGATTGCAATGATTTTCGGTGTTAAAGTTCATTTGCATAAACAGACGTGAGAGGAATACCAAATCTTATGCTTTAAATGCTATCGTGATGGTTTTACGAAGACTTCAAGCTTTACGATAGTAATGTCAAAAGCGTTTAAGAAACCTTATGTTAGTTACTAAAGCTTTGATCACAAAATTAGAAGACCGAGGTATCAAAAAAATATCAGTGTAAGAGCCTCGGAATATATTATCTTAGTGGTAAACATCCCGATAATCCAACCAGTGATAACGCCTCAAAGTAGTTTAGTAGTATCCTCTCGGTTGAAAATCCTCCAGGACTTTAAATACTGCCTTAGCTTCTTCTTCTTCATAGACCATTTTAAAGCAAGATGTGAAGCAGTTGATTCGAATGTGAGGGTGTGCCAAGACTCGTAATTGGATCATTCATCACGCGCCGTGCACAACGCCCTCACCATGTACTAGTATTTGGACTCTAAAGGGATCGCCGTGTTGCAACAACCGTCTAATTTGCCCGATACGTCACCTTGTGATTTTTTTTTGCTTTCTAGAACAAATTCGGAGCCGATTTCTATTATAGTGTGGGTTCATTGCCTTCTTCTATTACCATTTTTAATTGCATTTATTGTAGCTTGTATTCCCACATGAAATCCTGCAGATGCCTTTATTAAAAAGATTGTTCATTTGAGGATGAGTTGTTTGAAGAAAAACGGTCTCCTATACCTGTAGCTCATTTAGACTCATCACAATAGATGCGAGGCACAGGTAGAAAACTTCCTCTTTTTGGACGTGTCGCAAAATACGCTCCGTTGAGTTAAGTTATAGTTTTCTATTGGTATTAATGTTTTTCACAGTCAGAGGATCGGTCTGAATTGTCAATAATTTTTTGGTGAGTATCCGTATGTTAATGAGCTAATCGGCTTTTGCAAAAGTTCTTATATAAGCAGCTTAATTATTGTATTTGGAGGAGAAAATATATGTAATGAATATCACTAGCCTCACACATCATATGTAGAAGCTAAAGAAAAGACAGACAAGCTGCTCGCACTGGTGATGACTGATGCTTTCGACAGCTTGAGATTTTTCAGTGCCTTAATATGTTGTCTAAAGCATTGCCGATGAAGGAATTTTTCTGTATTACTTCTATTAGGGGACTACTGGTTTATTGTTACACTGTGTAGATTCCACGCAGATGGAGCTGTTACTTGCATTCAACAAAAGAGAACTTCGTATTCTGGTTGTTTTGATGGGTCATCTGTTCATGGCACATTATAGAGAATATATTGGTAAAGTTGCAGCGGCTGAGTGTACAACTTGTACAGAAGGTTTTTGACAGCGAGTGCTTGGCATTCAGACATGTGAAAGTCATATGTTCCAACTGAACTGTTAAGGTGCGCCCGATTGATGTCAGCCCTTCTTAGAAAAAACATCCACCAATATAGCGATGGTGAGTCATTGGCTGATAGGAGATAGCACCAAAGAACAGCATAAATCTATTTAAAACAATTCAACAGGATACATGTAATTAAGAAACAATTTCCAACCCACTTCAATTTCACTGATTATAATTATCATAGAGCAAACCGTAAAGGCAGCTGCTGCTAAAGCAGGCTACACTTAGGAAAAGCAATAAAGTATTGTGTACTTAAAAGTTTGGTTAATCTTTATAATCGTTAAATCAAGTCGCCCATATTTATGGTGATTTATGTATGTTGGGTCAATATTTATTGTTGATTTAGTGAATTGCATCGAGTTTTGTAGAAAGCAATGTATGATTAGTTAGGCTAGGTTATGATGGCGGCGATAACGGTCAACGTAACTCAAGTGGTAATTATAATCTAAACAAAAAAACTAAATACATATAAATATATATACAGATTTGTTTGCATACTTGAGAATTTAAAGTAGCGACCGGAGCTGAATCATAAATTATAATTTTGTATAGGAGATAACAGGTTATGTACAATACATGTGCGTATGTATATGCTGAATATGTGAGTCTCTTTACCCAGAACATTAATAAATACAATTTTTTTTTTTAAATATATTTCCCAAAAATAAAAAATATAAAAAAATAAAATACGAAATATATTTATAATAAAAAAAATGGATGATTAGCACCAACTCCGAAATGATATGACTAGGATTGCCATAAAAGGAAAATTTGAATATGTTATCAAACTAAAAATTTCTAAAAAAGCTCTAATTTTGAAGTCCTTGTGGTTAGGCTACTCAAAAGAAAATATGGATTTCCAATAAAAGGTGCTTTTTGCATACTCTGCTATTACGGTGTTCTAAATAAAATAATAAATTATTACTCTACAATTCCTCAATCTCCCGAATCTCAATTTTCAAAAATATCCCAGACTAATTCTATAAACAGAAAATGATAACAAATTTATTTTCTGGGTTTGACACTTTGGTTTTCTGAAAATGAATGAGTTGCGCTATAAAGAGATTAATAATTTTTTAAGACCGGAAATCAATGGTGGTGATCTAGACGACGTTTACTTTCAATAAGACGATGCTAAGCGCCACATAAGCAACGATACAGTATCTTGAGAAGAAAAGTTTTTGAGGGAAAATTGTTTTGAAATATTAAAATAAAATTTTTTGGAAAACGTTGTCTTAAAAAAAAGTGCTCTTGTTAAAAAAAAAAAACTATAATAGTGTTGGTACCCTTTCCATGTTATGAATTTTCTTAGTTCGACACAAATATCATCAGAACAGCTTTTCGTACAGAAGCTCAGACTTAAAGAAACTTTTGGTTTGGGCTGTAGTTTCGAAGTAATTTGGTTTAAAAAAAACTTTTATTGGAAGATAAAATATTAAGACATACTTCGATTAAAAATACTTTGATATAAGAAAGAAAGCTTCTTACCTAAAAGTTGCTCTTTGGTAGATTTGAGTTAAAAATTGTATACTAGAATAAAATGTTATATGTTGGGGGCATGAAGTTGGTATATGACGCGTTGACCGAGTGGTTGGCATGGCGTACTAACATTCGAAAGTCCAGAGTTCTTGCCCTTGTCCGATCATCATTCAAAATTTTAAAAAAGTAATTATACTAGGATCGATACTAGGATCTCTCGGGAATGCCAAGTCCCCCGAAAAACCCATAGCCGTTCGGAGGCGACTTAGAATAAAAATTGTAGATCGCAAAATTTGTTTGAAAATCCCTAAGATGCGTAACAAAAATTGGAGTAGGAGTTCGGTTGCAAATCACCTCACCGCTTATAGATAGCCAATAAATAATACAACAGCAATAACAATAATAATAATAATAATAATAATAATAATAATAATAATAATAATAATAATACTGTTTTTCAACATCGTTGTGGTTTCTGTGAGTCGTCTGAACATTTCGGTCGCCGTGGTGGCGATGACAAATGCTGAAAGCACAAATCCTAATTTTCAGGTAAATAAAATGCCAAAAAAAAAACATCTTTAACTCACATACACATTCCTTACATAAAAATATGATTTGTTTGGCAGGAATTCGATTGGACAGAGCAGCAGAAATCCTATATCATCTCCAGCTTCTATTGGGGTTATGTAGTGACGCAGTTTCCTGGCGGCTATCTGAGTCGACGTTTTGGCGCTAAGATAGTAATGACGATTGCCGTGTGCGGCTCAGCTGTGTGCAGTTTGCTCACGCCTCTGCTCGTGACCATAGGTGGTTGGCAGATATTTTGCATTATACGCATTATACAAGGTCTTTTCCAGGCCGCGCTCTTTCCAGCCATACATGAGCATATTGCGAAATGGTCACCGCCGCAAGAGCGTAATATACTCGGTGCGCTCACTTATTCTGGCGTTGATTGCGGCACGGTATTGGCTATGCTTGTGAGCGGCATGATAGCGAGTAGTACGCTCGGTTGGCCGGGTATTTCGTATATTTCCGCTGGCCTTGGTTTCGGCTGGTCTGTGCTTTGGTTGATTTTTGCCGCCGATTATCCCCCCTTATCGCGCTTTATAACGGAGGCGGAGTGTCGGTATATTGAGAAATCTCTGCGACGTGACGATGACTTTCATGCAAAGAGAGTGCCTGTGCCCTGGTTAGCCATGTTTACATCGGTGCCCTTCCTGGCGCTGCTGATAGTGCGTTGCGCTGAAACGTGGGGTTTTTGCACTGTACAAACACAAATACCGTCATATTTTAATGGTGTTTTCAGTATGAATATTAAGAGTAATGCGCTTTACTCGGCTCTACCGTATATAGCGCGTTGGATAATGTCCTATACATATCTCTACTTTGGCAATATGGCTGTGCGGAGGGCGTGGCTACCCTTGACGGTGGTGCGTAAGATCGCCAACTCGATGGCTTTGTGGTTGCCCGCTTTCATCATGGTCGGCATTGGCTTTTTGGATGACACAAACCAGGCGTGGGCTATTACGCTTATGACACTGAATGTCGGCTTCAATGGCGGTGTGACGATTGGTTGTGTGCTCAGCACCATAGATCTGTCACCAAATCATGCCGGCGTTGTTATGGGTATTGTGAATACTTTGGCCAATATGGTATCGCTATTGACGCCCTTGGTTGTGGGGTTTATAGTAACAGATGTGGTGAGTTGGGATTTTTGTTTTCTTTTTAAATATATATACATAAATATTCTTAATTTAATTATTCAGTGAAAAATTTTAAAAATAATAAAATGAAATTTTTATATATATATTTTTTTTCTATTCAGCAAAATCGTTTTGAATGGCAAATTGTTTTTATTATTGCTGCATCGATTTTCTTTTTGGGTAATCTTATATATGTTATTTATGGCACAGCTGAGGCGCAACCATGGGATGCACCCGACTTCTTGCTGAAGAAGAATATTGAAGATCCAACAAGCGTAACGAAATCATCTTTTAGTGGTTGTAAGAGTGCATTTAATGTCAAAACGAAGGCTACTGATTGTAAGGTGAACTCAATGAGTGTGGAAAAGTTAGGTTAGAATGGGAGAAAAGTATATGGGAGGGATTTTATGATTAATTTAGTCACTTGTACTTAGGCTGCTGTGATGGCAAATAATCTATTTAATTAATTAAGTTATGTATCATCTATGATAAGAAAATAATTTAAAAAAAATAAAATAAAATATATATAGAAACATTTATATTTTTACATTTTTTATGAGTTCCTTTGATCTTCAAACGATTCCAATATTATTTACGCCTTATGAATGCATCCACAAATGAGTGAACCTACTGTTCTTTGCGAACTCCGAGTGGGCAAAGGAGTTTTTGAGAAATAATACATATATTTATGTACTTAGATAGGCAGTGGTGCTATTCGAAACGATGGTAACCTAGAGCTGGTTCAAATTCTAAAGCATTATGCGCCCACAATAGCAATTTTACTACTTGTGGTCGTTCCTCGAGAGGAAATGTCAAGACGTTGGAGTGTTTTTCGTACTAGAAATAAGAGCTCCTCATAAAATTTCATCGTCCGTTCGGATACTTAGAACTTCAGTTCGCTTCAGTGTTTGGGAAGACATCAAGACACACCCCACAAATTGGGGAAGAAAATGGGCCGAAAATCGTAAGACCTTGATATTCGCCTATCATACTTCATTATTGCTCTCATACCATTTGGTATTATTACCCTTTTAGTAAATACCTATGCTAAATGCTCTTATAAGGCATAGCCAGTTCACATCCGTGTTTTTCAAAGCTCTTTCACCCGCTGCTTCTGCTTCGACATTCCACAGTTAAAATATTCATTTTCAAAAATTAGCTCTTTGTTAAAAATGTAATGGAAAATCTTTCCTGATCTTTTTAACATGCTTGGGATTCGTCAAGAGTTGCTTCTGACTCCGTCGGACTCGTAAGATTTTTCATCGTGAGCTTTTGGCTATTACTAGAACTCGAGATTAGAGTGATATCGAGTTGATCTATCAGCGGGCTTTCAAAATATCTAAATTATTGACAACGCTTGAATTCACCATTGGGGGCGCTAAACCTTTCTCAATCTGTACCGAATTTTCTTAATATATATTGACAACCCATTTTTATGTCTTATTATTCCACTTAGACGGTTCTGGCTGAGTTTGGTAGACGTAAGAAGAGAGAGAAATACATTTTAAGAAACTTGGCGTATGTGGAATGGCATTCTCCCCTCCTAATGAGTCTTCTCAACTTGAAGCAAATATTTAAATCTAACCTCGGTTGAATGTAATATGATTTGTATAAAGGTTTTGACTTGGATTAGCAAACCGGCTTATCGTTTTGGTTCCATCGGCTACCTTAAATCTACTAATACCAATTTCCAGCATAGCAATATTTAAGACCGAGTGGTTAGCATTGCGTACTGGCATTCGGAAAGACCGCGTTCAAGTCCCGGTGCGACCAATAACCAAAATTCGTAGAAAATCAATTTAAATAAAAAATTAAGTTAAATTTTCTAATTGCGACTGCCCCTCGGCAGAAAATGTCGACCCCTACGAGTGTAGCTCCTCATAAAAAAACCACCAACCGTTCGGAGGCGGCTTAGTTTAAACTGTAGGAGGAGAAGTGCGGCAAAAAATCTCTCTAGCGGTTACAAAGTGCCAATTACATTTCAAACGCTCATTAACATTTAGTCTTCTAGTTATACATTCGGGAGACTCACATCACTTTGTATCAATTTATGTATGTATACATTCGTTCGGGTAGATCGCTCCGGATCCGGAGTTCTCAATATTTTCGCGCTTCGGTGGAGTATATGTATGCATAAAAATATCCACTAATTTTTTCAACAAATGGAGATGCTACAGTTTTACTTTAAGCCGTCTTTGAATGATCGATGTTTTTTTTTTTGTAGAGATCTTTAAGGTTTCATATTATAAATGTACAGAGAAGCTGACATTCTCTGCCGAGAGTCGACTTAGGCAGGAAAATGTAATTGAAAATCCATTCTACGCAACTACGTATAAATTCCAACTAGAATATTATAGAGTTGACTACAATCTAGATGATCACATTTGAATTAAACTGAAAGAAAAAAATATTAGCCGCATCTGATATTTTGACATTTTCATGTCTTTTCTAAATTTATTTTGTCAAGCCTAAAACAAGACTAATAAAAAAATGTATTTCTTTCATTAATATTTCTTAATTATGTTTGCTTCATTATTCATAATCTTGTCAGTTATTCTTGCTGCATATAAAATTTGCAAACTTGCTCTTTTATTGCATAAATTCAGGCGCTAGGAAGTTCCTAACGAGCAAACTCACGCTACGTGTAGTTGATATAATAAATGCTTATTTCTTTCTTTTCATCATTGATTATACATTGAATGAGTGGCGTAGCGAAATTCATTCATAGAAATATTACTAACCGACGAAATTTATTTTTTATATTAGGCTAAGTAAAAAGAATTCCATTATTTTTGTATTATACTGAAGGTTCTATTTACGATAGTTGGAACTATTTCATTTATGTCAAATATGCACTGTTTTGCTGTTTAATCTTTTGATATGTTGAAGAAAATGTCATTATTGGCAAAAAGTTTGGAACAATCAAGTTTCTCTTGAGGTCAATTCTTCACCAGCCGAATCATTGGTAATCACTTGTTGCGAGGTCCGTACTATGGTGAGGTGTGGGCTTAAAAATCTTCCAATAAAGCTCTCGGAGCTTCGTTCGAAAAACTATCTATGTGTATGGTCTGGCTTTGCCTTGAAATTAATATTACAGTTAGACTCCTGTTGGCAAAAGCTGGACACTTTTGGGTGATAGCTTTTTTTGGTTGGTCCAATTGCTAGAAGCGCAACAATTTCACGTGTGAGATATAAAATAATTTGTTATTTATTGATCGAGATAACAAAAATGCAAATCCACGCCAAGCGTGCTTTGATAATAAAAAAAACCATGTTGATTGCGGCCGCAATAGCCGAGTGGTTAACAGTGCGCACTGCCATACGGAAGACAGTAGAAAACTATTTTTTTAATTGTGATCGCCCCTCGGCAAGGGAAGACAAAGCTCACCAAGTGCATTTGTAATAAGAAATAAAAGCTTTTTATTGAAAAACCATCGACCGATTGGATGCGGTTAGTATAAACTGTAGGTCCCTTCATTTGTTGGAAAACGGTAAGACTCAAAACCACAAATTGGAGGAGGAACCCGGCCAAAAATCGCTATTGCGGTTAAAAAGCGCCAATTATATATATAGGCAAGCATGTTCATATATATATGCTGATTACAAGCACGCATCGGTGTGTTTAATTTACTTGCTCTCTAGCACATACTAGTATGTACGTATGTTTGTATTTTTTAATGGTTTCACTAACGCTTGTTCATTTCAATCATAAACAGTTAATTTTTTTACAATTAGATGTGGTTTGTTTGTCTGTCGTAAAATGTTATTCGAACGCTTTGAAGGTGGTAATCCCGAAAAGTTGTCTAAATTTTGGTATAATTAATAAATGTTTGATAGTTTTTCAATTCATATTGAGATTAGATTTATAATTTTTTTTAAGTGCATCAGCCTTTATTCTTGCAGATATGCTAGTCTATAGTTTAACAAAACTTGATGGGAAAATTATTGTGTTAGAACTAAAAGTGTGAAATAATATTATTTTTTAAAATAAAAATTCTGAGTTCTGTTCCTAAACCAACTTAAATTTTAAAATTTTGATGTCGAAGCTCGTTGCAACAAAAAAAGAATAGCACAGAAATTGTTAAATGAAGTCAATAAGGATTTTGATTTGCTTAGGGAGAACCAAACTGGTAACGATTTATACATATATTTGTCCCACCTGTCTTAGAAGAAGAGCAAAATGCAATAGTCCGTGCTACACTCAGAGCTTTATACCCGAACGACCTGGATTTTTATGTGCATAAAGAGCTATCACTTATTCCAAAAATTGAATGTTTATACAATTATTTTCCGTTATAATAACAAAAACAACAAACGTTTTTGACTTCCAAACCAAAGCCTAATCGTTCTAAAGAGAATCAAGATTAAAAAATCCAGATTGAGCTCTGACAAAGGTCAACTTTTTGCTTACAGGTATTTTCAAAAGTTTAGTATAGTGAATTAATAAGGTTGGGTGTCATTTTAAATTGTGAAAAGAGGAATTTATTGCTTTTGCACAAAAATTACGGTGTCGATTGAAGACACTGCTGAAAGTACATCTTTTTGCGACGAGTTAGGAGATAAAAACTGAAACGCCGAAAGTTTTCACAGATATATATATAAAATGCAATTCAGTTTCTTTGATGATGATGATGTGGCGATTGATTTCATTCAAAAGGGTTGCCCTAATTTTTCCAACTTTCATGTATTCGAACATGAAATAGTATATGAATACGAATAGGAAAAAAGAGAGTCGCAACAAAATATCTACCAGGCGGTTTAGCACGTCGAGCTACCCGTAAGTTGATTTAACCTGTCTGTTTTTTCGTCTGGCTGAGCACAAAAAATAAATATTGTCACCCAAAGCCCTCTATGTATGTTTTTCAGCAAATGAGCATAAATATTCAATATGAAATAGAAATTGAATAAATTTGCTTTGAGTACATATGAGAAGGTATAAAGATTTTTTCAGCATGATTTAGGAAGACAGCATTTCTTTCAAGTTTATTTTCATTACATTTCAATATAATGCATTTATATGCCAATCTTTTGGCAAGATTAGAGATCAAAGGAGATCAAAAAAATCATGATTTATGCGTTAAATTGGCTAAATATTACTTTAAATATATTATTAATCGAGTAAAAATTCGGGATTCCGAAATTAAATATACTCATACGTTTTTCATTACCAGATTCATAAATGCAATTCTCATAATTTATACCAATTAATTTTTTAGCCAACTTAAAGGTCTTGGAGAGCCAACTTTGCAGTCTCACCTGAAGGATGCATGGTGGTTGGATTTTTTGCTCACATTAGAAATCAGTATTATTATATAAAATAATCCATTTCGATTTTTTCGAGTGGATTTATGAAATGAAATTCAAATTCTCGCCAAAGTCCATCTGCCAGGCTGCTTGGAATAAATTGTAGATCACTCTTTTTATTGGAAAAAGAACGCAAAACCACAAATCAGAAGAGGAGCTCGACCGATAATCTTTTAAGCGTTTACAATATATGTATACGTATGTAAACCCTTTCGTGGCTTAAAGAGCAAAGGGCTGTTTTTTGGCATCTGCAAGACTTGACTGTCAAACCAAACTTGTTTTGTCTAAGTTAAAAGCCTGGCATTTATGTAAGTGGATCTCTTAATAACCCCACAACGCGTTGTTAAAATTTATTACGAAAATGTTGATTCAAATGTGGTCCCGTCTCGCGTTTTAAGAGAGGATAATGGTGCCATAGTCATTCAAATACTCAATAAATTGGTAAAATTTTAAGGAATGTAGAAGAGAACGGATTGTTTGCAGATATTATAAGGCCTGTGCGCCATCGCTCAGCTCCTTCCACCTCAAATATCGCTGCTGTAAGTAGTTCGTACGTTACATTATGGCGTATTTTGTCCTTGATCTTATACCTACATCCATATAATTCCAATTCGTATAGCAGCCGCAGCCAGCTGACCATTCACAATGCCGTCAATTGGGTGCTTGAATGACGGGCATGGGATGACGACTTTTCAAAGAAAAATTTCTTTAGGCAGAAGGTACATTTCTCACTCGATATATAAAACGATACATTAATAAACCAGATTGGTATTCGGGACAACGAAAATCTTCAAATAGTTGAGAGGAGGCCATTACAACCAAAAACAAGCGACAACGGTGAAACTTTCGCTGCCAATGCCGAACATTATAGTCGCGTGATAACTGACTTTTCTTTTTTTTTTGGCCTGCAATTGAAGAACACAACTTGCACAATATGTTGCTGCAAGAATTGGGTACGACATGCTAGTGAATGTGAGTTTATTGCGAGAGAAACTTCTCGCCAGCCTAATCTCTCTCTCTGGCATTGTCAATTGGCCACCGCGATCGTGGGATTTTACGCAGTTGGACTCTTTTTTTTCTTTGTTTTAATGCGAATATATTTTTAGCTCTTGAGCACTTTAAAACCAGCACTCGTCAAGTTATGGCTGAGATATCGCCCAAGATGTGCCAAAATGTGGTTGGAATCTACCTCAAACGGAACGAAGTTTGTAAAAATTTACGAGGCGTGCATTTCAGAATAAAAAAGAGTTTCAAGAAAAAATTTACTTTAAATTCATTTTATGTACGTTTATTTTGGAAGCCGCAAAATGGATAACCCGAGACATTTAACAGTTTTTTTTTTAATATTGTACTAAGAAATCCTTTTATTTATTAATTTTATTTGTTTCCTTTTTTTCTTAAATGTTAATTAAAGTTTCTTTATTCCCGCTCTAAGAACTCATTTCGAATGACTGGGGTTTTGCGTCAGCGGACAGTATGTAAGTGGAAATTTCACTACAAATATACTAAACTTCAGTACGATAAGATTTTATAGGTTACTTTTTAAAAGTGTATACTATATATTGAGCACTTGGTATATGCACAGAGTGTGTCGTTTATTTTTTGCCTTGTCGACTTCTTGATAAGGATTAGTGCAGAATCATCTCGGGTTTCCCATTTGTTTTACTCTTTTTTTTTTGATTTCGTTGTACAAAGCTCAATCAATTATACACACTTTCTTTATATATTTCTGAGAGTTGAACTCACCGACTGTAGCGCGTTTGCGTAAAACTATGAAATATGTCAATTTCATAAATGTTTGTATGTAACTAAATATACATATTTATAGTTTTTCTTTTTGAAGAACTAATGGCGAGTAAATTTTTTCAAATATTCACTTTTATTTACTTGTACATATGTATAGTATGTACGCACGTACAATGTCTTTATTAAATGAAAATGATAACTCGCCGACCGGTCTCACTGACTATAGTCGTGCGCAAGCGTTCGCTGCCATAAAGTATTTTATTGGCGCTATTTTCTTTAAGATTAACTCGCTATTTATTGTATACGTACTTGTATATGTATATAGAAGGATAATTTGTCACATTTGCTGAGGTAGCTATGCAGAATTTTTAATGCAGTCCGTTTATTGCCGGCAGCGTAGGCAGTTCGAAAATATTTTGCACAGCTGTAGTCTAGTCGTTACGTTTTTTTCGGGTGAAAAATACTCAATGGAAGCTGTGCGGGCAACTGTTAAAATTATACATATATAACATTGTAACTGCTATTTTTGTTTTCATTAATAAATTGTGATGAGCTAAATTCAGCTTTTATTTCGTGTGACTTTATTTAAAAAAAAATTAAAAATAAAAATAAATAAATAAAAAATGACAACCACAGTTGTGAAAGGTAAACAAAAAATAAATATGTGGTTTTGTGTAAACAAAGGCGTTGAAATATTTTCTTTGATATCAATAAAGTAGTGAGATGCCAAAAAAGATTGATAAGCGCTTGATAGCATAGTTTTTGTTTGCATTAAAAAATTTCAAAACCTACAAAAAAAAAATATTGATTCATTGTACATGGCAACCTTGTGCTGCTCGAATAATATAATTTTTTCTTCTAAATAGTGTAACCAACCCGAAAGCATTACAAGGTGTTCTTCGTTTATGCGCTCAAATTGTTTCAGAGTGATATTGATATATGTGGTGTGAGATTACAGAGAATACCGAGATTTACATTATTTATGGTATTGGTCTTGATGTTTTCCCAACATTTGGAGAGACCTACAGTTAACACTAAGCCAACAACGAACTGCTTATAGATTTTTACGAGAAGCCTTTGTTACATGTCAGAAATACACTCGAAGAGGTTGACATTCCCTGCCGGGGCGCGAACGCAATTACAACTATAATTTAAGTTGATTTTCTACAACTTTTGAACGATGGCCCTACCAGCACTTCAACCCTGGCCTTCCGAATGGCTCGACTACCCCGGCCGCCGAATAAAAATATCGCCTACAAATATTAGCTTAGTAATTTTGGTTTCGTCGATTTCGTAACGGTATTTTTTTATTTAAAAGAATGTCGAAGTCCAATTGTTGAAAATGTCGTTAAAATAGTGGATTTAATCGCGTCTGACTGTCATGCGAGCATTGCTTCGATTGCCCAGGAACTTAATATTGCACAAAAAACAATTTGGAATCACTTGAAAAAATCTTCATACAAAAAGAAACAACCTATAGTATTATTACAACAAAAAAAAATACTTGGTTAGTGCTATAATAACCGTAGATAAAAAATAAAAATCATACAAATAAATAATTTACGGTTATGCTTGCCTTATCTTTCCTAAGCGAAAGTATTTTGACTGTAATTTAATAATGAAATAGTAAAACGATTAGGAAACCGTTATTGAGTGCGCTATAAATCATTAACCTGTAAATAAGTCATAAATAGAATATGTATATACGTGGGTTCCCTTTTATATTTCAGAATACGAAAAACCCTAGTATTGCTATCTGGCAACTGGCAACTTAGACATGTTTGATTTTATATATACTCAAAAGCGCTATTATTGTTATTTACAGCCACTTAAAATATTTATCTCTGCCGATTATTTTTTACAACACTCGATGTGCAGTAATTCAGCAGCAGTGCATCGATGAACTTAAATCAAATTTCGACGAATAAGCTCCAGCAAAGGCCAGAGTTTATCAATGGTATTGTGAATTCAATTCAGGTTGTAGATCTCTCCAGGAGAAATTTTGTGTGATTTTTGTTTAAAATCAGTTTTTTGTTCGGAATCCTTAGATACTATATGCAGCAAACTGATATTGCAAGATTGCTAATCTTGAATTTAGGACATCTACAGGTATTAGTGGGAGTAGCATTTTGATGTGGCATGAAAATTTGACTGTAAAAAATATTGGTCACATTTTCAATTGTTAAAAAAAAACGCTCGGTACCACTTGTCGGGAGAAATGTTGAAATATGTCTACGACATCGTGAAAGCAGATTAATAGTGGGCTTATGTGTATGAGCACGAAAGTAAAGAGCAGCCGACTGTATGGGTGTTGAAAGATAATCAGAATCCAAAAAAAAAAGTTGTTCGCGCAAGAAGCTCTTTCAAGCAAAGTGTAGCCTGTCTTTTTTTGTTGGAAAAAGTGAGCATGTCGCAAGCGTACCTCTACAACAAGGTAGTACCGTAAATTTTGTCAGTTGTTTTTCATGAAATCAGGAAAAAAACGAGTCGACAGTGGGAGCCCTCACACATCACATCGACAACACCATTTATGAGCGCTAAAAACTTCGATCTGATAGGTATGGTGGACTTCCTTTTATTTCCGAGTGCATAAAAAAATACTGAGAGCTCACATGGTAAGGTATGCACATATGTTTTGGAGATACCTCAATCAGAATGGCAATTGAGGTATCTCCAAAACATATGTGCATACCTTACCATGTTGATTCAAAAGCATTTAAAAGTGTACAGATCTAACAAAGAACATTTTGAGAAACAATAAGGCAAATTTTGATTAATAATATAAAATTTTTTTTTGGCCTCTAAGCCCGAAATATGAAGGGCAGCCCTCGCATTTGTATACATAATAAAAAAAGTAGTTTTAAAACGGAAACCTTTAAAGACAAGGTATTCGAAATTGATAATATGAGAAAGTAGATGTGAGTTTAAATATGTTGGAATTGTGGTGGGAGAGAGACTCCGTCACTGAGTACTGACATTCACTCCGGTGGATGAACGTCTAGCCGCACGTCACTGCAAAGCAAAATCTCCAAACATATCGTTGATTTGCGACCATGCTCCGACGGAAGGGCACAAGAAGGTACATCAAGCTACGTGGCTGTCGCAGTACTACCAAACACACACACACATTTCTTCGGCGAGTGGTTTGCGCGTGGTATTTTCGCCTTATATCGCTCTTCTACTTGACTGCAGGGTTAGAATTCCATTACTAAAAAGTTAAAAAAAGCCAAAAAGAGTTGAAGTAGTTAGCTTTTGAGATTTTTTCTGACAAACAGTTTTTTTTATTTGTCGTAAACAATTTTTTTTTAATAATAAATATCCTATTCTACTTCTAACATCTCCTACGATAGTTATTAACATATTCTAATTCACCGTAAAAAAAATAATTCCAAGTAAAATACCGGGCTATTCATTTTGGGTTCTCGAAAATAAACGTAAATAAAAAGCATTTAAATCTAAAGAGCAACGTCAAGCCATCAGCCCATTCCTACTAATGGGTTCTATGTTTTAATGTTTTAATTTAATTTAAGATTTTATTATTTATTGTTAGGCTTCCGATGTCGAAGCAGATCCAGTAAATAAATATAAATGTTAAAAAAAAATATATTTTTCATAAAACTTTGCCTTTTTCATCATCTAATGACAGTAACGCCGTTGTCATTTTAGAAAAGGTAAGGCATGAGTATACTTCCGCACAAATGAGTGCACAAGACGGCAGGTTTAATTTTTTTTGTGGAAGTAATGGCCTCTCTTTAATAAACTGAGGCTCAATGTGACAATTTCGGATCCAGTGTCTTTTGATTTATTTAAAATTTTAGCAATTGCTGGAGTAGTTGGACTATTATATGCCCCATGAAGGCACGAAATGCGGCCACCTTTGAAACTTAATTTTCGTAGTAGGATTTAACAAACACATTGTGTAGCGCTCCATTTTCATAAATTCCTTATTTTTAACTTTAACATAACATGTTTGGTTTGACATCTAAGTTTGACAGATATCCAAATACAGCTCTGTGCTTTGGACACCACGAAACGGTTAGTGAATATTTCCAAGGAAAGTCTTACTCATAATCAATTTATATTAAGCTCACGAAAATTGTGATTCAAACAAATTTTTTCAAAATACATACTTGTGTTTATATATGTAAATATACTTTCTTCGTTTTAAGTAAAAATCTACTGATCAGGCAACTTAACGCGTTAGAGGCTAAAATTACGAAAATAATCAAAGTTTTGAAATATGTTAATATATCTTAATGATTCGGAATAAATTGTGGTATTTAGTAAATAAATACATGAACACATGGTCATATAATAATTATCATAAAAATATATATGTAAAAAAATCAGATTACTCTACTGCTGTGGTAAGGTTTATGACCATTTCGCCGCACGACTTCAATGTATGTGTAAATAATCGGCTTAAGAGTCTACAAAAGCTTATTTTATTGAGCAAATAATGTCTCAGAAATAAGTATAAGCTGTTTATTATAACCCGATTTAAAAAAAGTAGCATTGCTAATGATTATACAAAAAAATGACTAAATAATTTTTTAATCAATTACTTTTATTCCTTTTTAGGCCCTTTTTTTGGCATACGCCATCTTCAAGCTTTGCTGATATTCTTCAATATTGTCGTTGTCTATTTGAGTCGACTGAATGTTGCCGTGTCTGTGGTGGCGATGACAAATGCCAATACAACAAATCCTAATTTTCCGGTAAGATTTTTATAGTGAATTACATGATTCATTATTGAAAGGACGTAGCGACATGAAAGTGTACGGTAGAAGAGAAGTGATGAGGTCTAAACTATTCATCTTGGCGGAGCACTTCTGTAAGACATTTCATAAATCTTTTTTACGACCAGCGTACCCTAGAAGTTATCTGTTGGTATTAGAATGAAACTTCGCCTGAAGAAGGTGCAAGTCTTTAAAGATCTAGAAATTTCTATTTATTATATAGATGAAAAATCGCTTGTAGTTGATCTATGTGCATCTCAAAATTGCTATCTACTTTGCAAGTTAGAGATTATAAGAAGTTAGTTTTTGAGATGAGTTACCTTTTTTTCTGTCATCAAACCAGATATGGCTTAGAATTAGGTCTGAATTAAGCTAATAATAATTGCTCTCAAGTCAACCCGTGGTTATGAAGATTTTGTTTCGTGTTGGGGAATCATGCAGTCAGAAGAACGCTTCTGGTCGGTTATTTCGGCATGCGGACTCTCGGCAAGCCGCCTCGCGGTGAAGTGTTTTATCGTTTAAGCTTTACTGGTGTTAGTGGAACTCAACTGCCATACTTTTCTGCCCCATAGGATATAACTTTATAGTTCGTTTTTTTTTATTTAAAATATATAAAAAGTAATAATTGGATATTTCGTTTTATTTCATTTTTTTTTTAGGAATACGATTGGAACGAGAAACACAAGTCATACATCATATCCAGCTTCTATTGGGGTTATGTCTTGACACAATTTCCCGGCGGTTACTTAAGTCGTCGCTTCGGCTCCAAGATCGTAATGCTCGGCTCGACACTTTGCTCAGCTATCTGCAGTCTCTTAACGCCATTCCTCATACCTATTGGTGGTTGGAAGGCATATTGTGCGATACGCATCGTTATGGGTCTAGCGCAGGGTGCCATGTTTCCTGCCATACATCAACATCTCGGCAAATGGTCACCGAAAAGTGAACGTAATCTACTGGGCGTTGTCAGTCATTCGGGCACCGATTGTGGTGTGGTCTTGGCTATGGGCGTTAGTGGACTCATTGCCAGCAGTTCACTCGGTTGGCCGGGCATATCGTATATATCTGCTGGCACTTGTCTCACATGGTGCTTGATTTGGTTTTTCTTTGGCTATAATAATGCGCCCTCGGCACGCTTGATAACACGCGAGGAACTTTTATATATTGAAACGGATCTGAAGCGTGAAGAGAATTTCCATAATAAAGATATACCCGTACCGTGGGCGGCGATCTTCACATCGGTGCCATTCCTCAGTTTGTTGGTCGTGCGTTGTGCCCAAGCCTGGGGCTACACAACACTACAGGCGGAGATACCCTCTTATATGGCCGGTGTGCTGAATATGAATATAAAGAGTAATGCGCTCTTCTCCGCTCTTCCGTATGTGACAATGTGGTTGTTGTCTTATGTGTATCTCATCGTTTCCGATATCGTGCTCACCAAAGGCCTGACAACACTAACTGTATTGCGTAAAGTCTGCAATACGATTGCATTGTGGATACCGGCGGCGGTAATGGTGGGTATTGGTTTTCTGGATGAAGAACAAAAGACGCTGGCGATTGTGCTAATGACCTTGAATGTGGGTCTCAATGCGGGTGCCACAATTGGCAGTACGTTGAATACGATTGATCTGTCGTCGAATCATGCAGGCGTTCTGATGGGCATCACCAACACCATTGCCAATTTTGTGCCTATCGTAACGCCACTGCTGGTTGGTGTCATTGTAACGAATGAGGTGAGTGTTTATTGTTATGGAAATGTTTTCTGATCATTACTTTTTCCCGCTCTCTTGCTCTCTTTTTCTGTTTTCTTCACTCTTCAGCATGATCGTTCGCTTTGGCAGACCGTTTTCATAATCTCTGCCTCTATTTTCTTCGCTGGCAATTTAGTGTACATTCTGGGTGGCTCAGCAGTGACTCAACCATGGGATGCACCAGACTTCATGAGAAGGGATAATGTGGAGTATGCAGATGACTCTATGAAAGCACATCGTGACGAGATCACCGCCGATATTTTGAAGCCAGAGGCCATTCCATACTCACTGAACTCAAGTCGTCCTCATACCGTTGAGTATCCAAATGCGCCGTATAAAGGGAATATGTATTTTGCATCACCTAGCAATGGAAATTCATCAAGCGTTGAGAAAGTTGGTAATACCAATCATGCTTTCGTGTTAGAGGAGAAGGACGATTTGAAAACCATTTTGGATGGCGAAACCAAGGACAAAGATGAAAATCCGCGCAAGTAGTTTAAATATAATACAGAGCTAAGTTAGATTTTAAGATATGTAGAAGAATGTGTGGGATATACACATCTATGTATGTAAATATATATATAAATATATATTAGCTGCAGTAAGAAGTAATCCATTATTTTTGTATTAAATCAGTTATGGTAGAATTATTCGATTTGTGTCAGACATGCACCGGTTTGTACGATAGCTTTTCGCCACTTAAGTGTAATGTCATTATGTCTCTCTCATTGGAACCTTTGATCCTATAAGCAAAAAATTGGAACAACCGGTTTTGATAGGCTTCCGTTGAGGCAAAATCAGTCATCATCAGTCGAATAGTTGGAAATAGACAAGAATAGATAACAATCACTTGGTGCGAGGTGCGGACTATAAGTGGATGCATAAGAGCCTTCCAACCAAGTAGTAGGAGCCTCTGGCGAGTCACTATCGATGTGTATGGCTTGGCGTTGTTCTGATAAACACATTTACTCTCCTATTGGTCAAAACAGAGCGCTGTTGACCGATTGCTCCCTTCAGATGGTTGGATGCATGCTGAAGGCGAGCAACGCAAAGTGATGAATGATCCCTTGCTTATCCTATCCTACACACAACAAAACCATAATTGCTGTCAACTCTGGCTTGGTGACCTTTACTCGGTCTTATTACTGACAGTACAGGTCCGATTGAAAAGTTTGACCGCAAGGAAGCAGCTCATATTGGAATATTCCCAGCCAATATCACACATAACAAAAACATATTGTCTGTCACGCTGGCTTGGGTTCGTCAACTCAAGTGACACTCAAATATTGAGCTTCTTTGTCTATGAAATCATTTTCAACAGGATTCAGTTTGGTTAGGTCTAGCTTCAGCGCAATCATAACAGTGTTCTTGTGGCGGTCAGGATCGGCGATATCCATTATTTTAATGATATTTTCGACAATTATTCTTCCAGAGGATGTCCCACGTATCCCTTATATCGAAATTATTCAGGTTTGACTGTTACATCCTGTTGCATCCGACAGCATAAAAATTTTGCACCAGACTAATTCTCCTGGCGTGTAGTATACATCTCGGCGTCTGAGATTGTACTGCCTCGCAAGCTTCTCACTCGCCTGCTCTACCCTAGTTATAAAATTAATCCTAATCTCTTCAAGCTCCCTTACTCGCTCTTGAGAATTTAGTTTTTCCTGACCTCCTAAGCCTTCTATGAAGTCGCTACTGCCATCTAGTGCCATTTCCCTACCTAAGTTCACAAAATATGGCGTAGCTCCTAACACTTCGTGCTGCGCTGTCTTATGTCCTCGGGTTCTCTGACACGTAAGTCCTAAGTGTTGTCTTAATTATTTGGTTTCTCCTTACGGCCTGATAAGCTTGTGGCTGATAGTGTGCGGTGTACCGAAGTTGGACGCCATAGACACCGCAGAGGTACCGAGGCTCTCGACTCCTGAATTGGGCTTCACTGTCACACACATCCGACCGAGAAACTCCAAACAACAGAAATACATTTTCCTACAATTGCTTGCATACGCTTGTGGCAGTACACATAGAGCATAGGAGAGGAAATTTGGAAAAGTAGTCTACTAGCGTCAAAATATACTGGTAGCCTTGTGACGACTTCACTAAAGGTCCTAGCAGATCTGCACAAATCACCTAAGGCTCCACCGCCTTAGCACTCTCTATCATACCCCGAGCTGGCTGTGAATTTTCATACTTTGCAATGTCCGACTTCATCCTTGGCCAGTAAAACTTTTGGCGCCAAAGTCTTTTTCACACCTATGTGACCTGCCAGGGGAATGCTGTGATATTGGCTTAAAATCTCACCTCTACCATCACGCCCTATTACTTTTTTCTATTCTGGCGAATCGCCATAAACAGAAGCAAATCTCGAACTAACAAACTTGTAGAGGTTGCCAACTTCAACTCTCCACGCTGAATACGACAGAGGCTTTTTCTCGACTAACCGAATCATCCTTGCTAACCAAGGGTCATTAGAAGTCACTTCAGCAATAACCGGCACACTTCGGGATAGCATATCTGGAATTTCAAAGTGACGTCTAAAATCACGCTTAATTTGAGTTTAGTTTGAGACACCAAATACTTTGTATTGCTTTAGCGCTGAGACTAATGGGACTTGAAAAATAGGTCTTCAAAACTCATTCATGGAGCTCTTTCTTTTTAATATCTGAGAAAGAAAAAAAATATTCAGTTTATGCGAAAAGAAATAAATTTTTATCAACAAAAAGTATCCACCAACAACCTCGTTCACTTTTTGTGTACATTTTTGTTTATAATTCATAAACAAACATTTTCAGTAGTCTTTGGAAACTACGTAAGTAAGAGTGGCTACATGTGTACACACTGCATTTAATCTCAACTCACTGTTGCCAATTTGTATATTTATGAAGTATAAATATTTATCGTGTAGTCTAAGTATGGGTCATAAAGTCGTTTGCATGGAACATGATTTCTCATTCATCCAGTTACTGGAAATAATTCTTTTGCTTTTTTTTTGCTGTTTTGTTGAATTTAAGCTAAGATAAGATTGGCGGTGGTGATATCTTAATTACTGATACTAGTCGTACGCTTGCATAAATCTTTGAGAATTGAAAAATAAAAATGATTAAAATAATAACAGAAAGTTGGAAGAAAATTAAATTTAAATTTTTTTTCGAGCGCCGACAACTCGAAACTCACTCGAAATTAAGTGAATCAAAAAAGTTTTTTGCCAGATTGGCTAGGGCGTAGCCTAAGAAAGGATATTCCGAAAAAAATGAAACTAATTCTTAAATCATTCTAATTCCATTGAATTTGGTTCTTAACTAACAGCGGGAACACGAGTCTCACATATCGAAATATTTTCTTACTGTAACAGGAATATTGTTTTTGGGTATTCTGCTTAATCGATTGACACTATGCTTGTAATCTCCATCACTAAATTTTTTACAAGATTGTTAAAATTTCGATATTTTGAATACATGCCAACAGGAGCATCGCAACATAACAATAACAACAACAACAAATGAATGCAGCCACATGTCATCCATTTTAAACAGCAAATAACTTCATATTCACATGACCATCCGTGATGTTTTGTGGACAATTTTGTAATTGGACAATTTTTGTGGACGTGTTGGCAGAAATTCTTAAATCTATAAGGGAAGATGTTGCATAACAAACGGCCTTCACAGTAACGATATCCAGGTGAGCTCCTTATTTATTCTACATTCCAGTTTCTCATTTTTTAACTTTTAATAAAATAAATGACTTACTGCTTTTAATAAAATCACGTCTCGTTTTTGGAAGAAGTGTAGGTTTTTTTTTGTATGGATTGGACTTCTCACATTTGATCCCCGTTTCCGGACTTCATGAGGAATTCCGGCCCAAGTATATCCCGCACTAACACAACCTATATATATGAAATAGAAGCACGAAAAATGCGCCTAAAAGGCTACAACAGATTTCCACAATAACTGCAGAAATTATTTCAGTATACTTATGTACACACCTATATTCATTAAGGTAGTTCAAAATGATTACTTTTGTGCATGATGTAAAAAATATTTTCAAATTAATAATAAATTTATAGATAATTGTATACCGAATTTCGATAAAATCGTATGAAAATATTTCCGTTCTTCCCTTATATGTGTTAGCATCAATATATTTAGGTCAATTTATACCGATTGTGATGCTACGGTACTAACGCGATAACTAAACTTCACTATCGCCTCGATTTATTAGATAATTTGTCTTGTGATTGGCTAACTAATACAAGTCAGCAATGAAAGTAGGTACTGGTTATCGAAACCTCATTGTTTTTACAGCTTCCGAAGGGACCTCCCATTCTCAATATATGTCGTCCTTTGAGACTTAAAAAAGTCTCTAAGTAGCAGTCTGCATGTGGTAGGAAAGTGCTTGATCGTCTCTAGCCCACTTTGCAATTTCTCTCTATAGCTTTGTGATCAGGGAGCTATCTTCTGCGATAGTCTACACAATCACTGCTGCCTCCAAAATGACTGAAATATCAGGCTGAAATGCACTGCAATGATCCGTCTCTTTAAAAGACATCTCCTCCAACACTTCCATCAAGTTTTAATCCATCGAAAAACTATATTTTATCTCAATACTATCGATTGGCTATTGCCCTATTCTTACATTTTAGGGATGAGCGTTATATAATTGCTGCTAGCGAAATTTGGGCTGCAGCGATCTGTGCTACTTGGTGTTGTATTTTAGTTTTCTAAGACTGTCGCGTGTTCAAATCACTGATTACTTCACTGGTTTAGCTCATTTAGCCGACGAGCGGCCAGATTTACAGTCTGAAAACCAATAAATTCTGATGGTCAAATACAGAGAATCACATATAATTAAAAATGTTAAATGGGTCTTTTTTATTTAACGAAAAATTTATTTAAACTTTATAAAATAATTAAATGAAATAAGTAAATAAGTTTTTAAATAAAATGTTTGTTATGAATTCTGAGAAACTGCATATTTAACAAAAGACGTCTTGCATAAGAATTTTGGGGTCTACCTACTGCTTCTGCATTCAACTCCTTGTGCCGATATAATGAATTGTCTATAAGATGAAGTGAGAGTGAAGAGACATTGTGAGTGAATGAACCACAGACAGTTGCTTGGCAGTATCGGAGGCGCTCAAAATGCGTACTAGAGCATAAGAGAGAGTTAAGAGCTGTTATCAGTCAGTTGCACTTTAAAAAACAGCTGTCGTTTTGTTTATTTTATTTTTTTAATATTTAATAGAACAATGAAAAAATGTATATATTTTTTTTTGTTATTTGCTTATTAAAATTTTTAATTCTTTTTTTTTGTTATTTAAACGTTTAACAATTTCAACTTCTTTGTTCTTTATCTCCGTTAATCGGGTCTCTACTGTCACCTTTAACGCCTTCATTTGAGTTTCCCCCATATCAAGTAGACAGCGTAGACGCATTCTCGGAAGAACTTGCAGCATCTGAAAATAAATTTACGCAATAAAAGCTTATTTTTGTTTACCTACGGCCAAGTTGTTTACTTTACATATGCTGCATTCCACTTGGCTGTGGCAAGCATTCTGAAGCTCAAGTGACCACGGCAAACAGGTTTTTTGGACAACTGGCAGGCCGACAATCAAAACAACAATAAAAAAAAAAAACAAAACACAACAAACAAGACAGTGCATTGTACATAATATTTTTGCAGTTTGTTTGGCGACGGGCAGTGCAAATAGTTGGACTTTTGTTGAAGAATTATTGGAAAATGGAAATATTTTTCTAAAAAAAAAGTAATGAAATAATTTTTTGAAAATGGCAAGGAAATCCTTCGACTTGGTGCAAAATGGCAAGTGAAAAATTCTTCGGTTGTGAGTTTATTGGAAGAAAATAGTCAGTGTGTGGTGTTCTTGGCTTCTTCAAAGCGGTTGATAATGTTCGCGTGTGTAAAAAGTTTGCTTCCAAAGTCTTTTGTGTGACTTTTTCTAATTGTCACAGCTTTCATTCGAATAAAGAGTAATCCTTTTAGCAAAATTTTCCATAGTGAGAGTACTAAAAGTATTGTGATCAAAAATGTAGTGCCCAGCACAGCTGCTGTTTAAAATTTCCTGCAGTGAAAAGTGAGGTCTTTAATATTTTTTTAAGTTTCTCGAGTATCTTAATCTCATCAAACACAGTGCAAAAATAGATTCTCAGTTACTTGGAAAAAGGGCAACTGATAATTTTTTTACGCAATTATAGTCGAATCAATATTAGGGCGTCATTCCACGCTTTTTTGCGCTGTCTGGCGCCAGTTGGAAATACCAAGTAGAGCTAGGTCACTATCCAGCGCAATGGACCTCTTCGTCTTTCTCTGCTTACACCAGCGTGCACTACATCGAATACTTTCAAAGCTAGAGTATTCGTATCTATCCGGATCACATTACCTACCCAGCTTACCCAGCAGTCTCTTCATTCGCTGAACTATGTCAATATCATCGTACTGCGCAAGGGACCATAGATCGCAAGGGACCGAATACTTTTTCTCTCGAAGACTTCTAGAGCCGACTTATCACATATTGACATCGTCCACGCTTTTACGCCAAATAGTAAGACGGGTATGATGAGCGACTTGTAGAGTCGAGAGAGGACTTTACTTTTCACTTGCGTACTCAGTCTAAAGTAGCACCTCTTGACAAGAGTGTTTCTGCGTTGGATTTCTACGCTGACATTGTTGTTGGTTTTAATACTGGTTCCTAGATGGACGAAATTATCTACGACCTCAAAGTTGTGACTGTCAACAATGACGTGGGTTCCGTCTCGCTTCTTTACTAAGTCTGTAAAGGGTCACTACTGCTAAATACGTATTCTGCTAATGAAACGAGCCACCTTTAGCTATTTAGAATACCGAATACCTTCGTATCTGGTATTTTTCTATCAAAAAGTGCCAGGTTTTTCTCAGACGGTGTCAATATTCATGTTTCTGCCCACACAAGAGACTATGTTTTTAATTGCCTGTCAGTCTAAGGTAGTACTTTTTGACAAGATGGATTTCAAGGCTCAGATTTTCAAAAATGCCGTAGAAGCCAAGACGCTACAGTGTTGGCTCTTTGTTTGATCACAAGAGATATTTAGAAAGCAATATCTTTCGTCACCACCAGTTTTACTTTACCTTTGCTTCCACATTGAAACTGGTATCTGCTATCATTGGAAAACGCCAGCAGTAGTAAGCTCTTATATAAAATTTAATCTTCTCTTCTTAGTACTTTAGTATTAAGTTAAAGAAGTCATATATGATGCTGGATGGCTGAGTGTGGTTCTCGAAATCCCTCTCCATCGCGACTTAATTATCTTTTCTGTTGCCATCAGCTAGTAATATCCCCCTCCCTACGAATGGATCAAAATTTATTCATAATTTTTGTGTTCTAAGGCTCTTTGACCACTGACCATCTTACCCTGTCAAGGGAGTATATTCCAAAAATTTATAGAAAATTTTCAATTAATATTCCTAATTTGTCTTTTCAGAACACTCAATTCCTGCGCGTTACATACAAGTTCTGCTCATGTTCACCGCCATTCTGTTGGTCTTTTATCAGCGCGTTAATTTGTCTGTTGCCATTGTGGCATTGAATAGTTTAGATGAAACAACAACAACAAATGCAAGCCAACCGAAATTTGTGGGTAAACAAATAAGTTAATTTTGTTTTATTGTTTAACTAAAAATTAGTTTATTTCACCAGAATTACTCCGGCTTAACACCACACCAGCGCTCCAGTATACTGGGTAGCATTTTTTGGGGCACATTCTCGGTGCAACTGCTCAGCGGCTATTTGGGTAGCCACTATGGCACTGTCAAGCTATTATTTGGTTGTGTGCTCGGCTCGTCGCTAATAAGTATCGGTTTGCCATTTGCGCTAATCTATTTCGGCTTCGAGGCCTTCGTGGCACTACGTGTAGTGCAAGGTTGCGCGCAGGGTATTGTCTTTCCGGCAGTGTATGCCCATCTGGCCAAGTGGAGTCCGCTGAAAGAACGCAGCCTTTTGGGTGGCATATCACAGTCCGGCATGGATATGGGCATGGCGTTGGGATTTCTATGTAGTGGTTTATTAGCTGTGACAGCGCTTGGTTGGAGAGCAATATTTTATGTGCCGGGTGAGTGTAATTTGTAGTTATAATATTTATTTCAATTGTTCTTACTTTTCCAGGTCTCGTTGGCATCTTGTGGTCTGTATTTTGGCTAATCTTCGCCGCAGAGTCCCCGCAGAAATGCCGGTATATTGCTCAACAGGAGCTTACACTCCTCGCCGAAATTACCGTTGTTGCGCCGACAGAGAAACGTAAAGCACGCATACCTTGGTGTGCCATTCTTACCTCAGCACCTTATCTAGTCTTGGTGTTGGTCAAATTGAGTCATGGCCTGAGCATTTTTACATTAATGCAACAAATACCACTTTATATAAATGGTCTGTACGATTATGAGATACATGTAAATGCCTTGCTCTCTGCGCTACCTTTCTTTCTTATGTTTGTGACGTCACATTTGGTTACCTTTACGGCGCATTATTTACTGGTGGTGCGTAAATGCTCACTCGCTCTAGTTCGTAAGTCTTTGAATACCGTTTCAACTTGGGTGCCTGCAGCCGCCTTCGTCGCAATGACTTTGATAAGAAGTGAGGAACAAGTGACGGCAAATATTATCTGTTTGATTGTGGCTGTGATGACTTACGCGGCAGCAGCGGTGGGCAGTTCTCTGAATCACATAGATCTCTCACCGAATTTCGGCGGTATGCTGGTGGGTATGACCAATATGGTGATGACCGGCATGGGTGTGATCTCACCAATAGCTGTGGCGGAGGTTGTCAAAGATGAGGTGGAAGGATAAATAAAATTATTTTTTTTAACTTATTATTATTTATGGTATTTTTTTTTTTGCAGAATGACCGCTCTCAGTGGAACATCATTTTCCTAATAATAGCTGCGTTGCTCTTTTTGGGAAATTTGCTTTATTTATTTTTTGGCAAAATGGTCGCACAGCCGTGGGACGAAATTGAAGCCCCTGCTGAGAGGTCTACAACTAATAATGTAGAGTCAATGGAAACTGCCGTGTTCCGTACAAATAAGAAATGAATATAGAATGTTTTCAAATAAAAATAAAATATCAGCGAATGAATTCTCAAGTTTTTTTGTATGGAATTAAATATGAGTGTGAAACATACAAAAGCTTTCAGATGTCAATAAAGAAATGAGAATCATAAAAATAATTTTATTTTTTATTTTATTTTAACTTTATTGAAAATATTTCATAATTTTTTGTTGATCTTATATTTATTATATCCTTCAATACTACAAGTATGACAAAATTTTCTATTTATTAGACGGCAGTACAAAAGCAGAAGGCAGGTTATTCGAAATACTATGAGCTCAGTCCCATTGATTATAGTCCTATGTCGTTTAAAGCTTTCGTTGTTGTTGTTGTCATAGCGGTTCGAAAACCCCGCTTAGGTACAGGTTTGATCAATCTAAGTCGCCGAAGTCATCCAGTGGGAGGTCCAGGAAACGTGTTGTTTTGACGGGATTGGACCAGAGGGAGATGGGGCTTAGATGAGTCAGTTTAAGGGGGCATGTGAAGAGGTGGTTAGTGTCGTGCGGAGACTCTCCACATGCAGGGCATACGTTAGATATGTTGGGGTCGAGTTAAGTTATTAAAAGGTCACACAGTTCTGTCGAGGCAGCTCAAACTCGTTGTCTGCAATGGGTGATAGTTTTTCTCCGAGCATGCCATTCACGGGAAGGGAATCTTTGAAGGTGTTGACTAACTCCTGGTGAATGTGCCTGTCTGTACGCCATCCAGTCCAACGGTTGTTGCATATATTACTGGATGGAGTCCTTCATGTTCATTACTCTCTTTCTTAAGTGCCTAGGCGGTGGTTCAGTTTGAATAAGGTGTCTATTGGGGTGTTCCCTACGGTGTCATCCCAATAGGAATTGCTTGCACAGCAAAGCATTATGCTCCTCAACTCATGGCATAGATATAATAATTTATTTATATTTTATTTATTTTTTGAAAGAAGATTAAATACTATCAAATTATATATTTAAATATGATTTATTATATTTAGCAATAATTTTAGCATTTTTAGTTAAAATACCGATATTTTTAGTTCATTTATGATTACCAGCTCATGTAGAAGCCTTTGTTTTTGGGTCGATGATTTTCAACATTAGTTGAGGCTTTTCGTTTACAAAATATTTAAGTATAGTTTTTCAAAAGTACTTGGTTTACATTTATTTAAAATCCCACGGTTAATTCTTAATAAGCGTGGTACGTTACCGCAGCAATTAACAGCATGTGAAATTAATTTTATCAATTTCATAGTTCTTTGTGAGTGTGAAATTTTATGTGGTCAGCATGATCGGAAAATAATATTTACATAAACGTTTATTTTAATTATTTTAACTTAATTTAAAGAAAATTTAATTGTACCGTGAGGTGAAATCCCGCTTCAATGTAATTAAATATGAATATATTGTATTTATTAATAGATATGTTCCAACTACGCTTGTGAAGTACTTGTATGTATGCACATATGTATATATATATATATATATATATTTATTTACTAATTTCATGGATCTGAGATCTCTTTAGTTATTTTTTGTTTATTACAGCAAATGTTTATGTTAATTGCAGCTGGAAGTATCTAAATATATATAAATTTATGTTGTCAATGCTGAATATCAAACACTGGAACAGCAATGCATAGAGTGACCAGATTTTTAACATATTTCAATTATTTATAAATTCTGTTTTTGTTTTGCATTTCTCTCTATTTGAGGCTCTAGCCACTTTTGATATCCAAAATGTTAATACAAAGCAACAAAAAGGCAACAAAATAGCATATTTCTACCGTAGTTCCCCGAATATCAATACTAAGCCCAACTATTGGCCTATTGTTTTAGGCAATCCGGCATAAAAAACTCAATCAATTATTTTGGCTCGCTGACAAGTCACGTGCTGTTGCGGTCAATAGCGTCATGTAGACGTCATAGGGTACACAGTTTCAGTTTACCTGTTGATTTAACATTATTGAGTGCGCACACATACATACATATATATTCCTACCATTCACCACACCTGAGCCATACAAATGAGTTAACTCAATGAGCATGTAGAATACCAATATTTCGCTTATTCACTTGATTATTATTCCATGGAGAGTAATTTTTACGGTATCTACACACACATATTTACACACAGTCGGGTATTACCAAAAACGATGTATGTCGCGTAGTCAAGTACTTGATATTCTGATTCTTCACCAAGATTTTTACTTCCATGTATTAGTTTTTGACAGAAATGTTATGATAAAATTTTATTAAAAAAGTTTTTTGTCGAAAAACACAAAAGGGTGATTTTTTTTAAATTATTAGTAAATTATTAAATTTTTTTATCCAAAAGGGTGCGTAAATAAGCAGAATTGTCGATTTTGAAGTGAGGATCAGCCAGAAGCATTGAAAGAGCTACCAATGCATCCAGGAAAAACAGAAAAAGTTAAAGTTTGTAGCGGTTTATGAGCGGGTGGCGTCATTAGATCGTATTTCTTCAAAAATTATGCGAATCGTAACGTAACTGTGTATAGCGAGTGCTACAGTATGATAATATCAAACTTTTTTTGCCCAAAAGGCGTGAGTTTGACTTGCAAGACATGTGGTTTTAACAAGACATTGCCAGATGCCACACAGCACGTGCAACAAAGAACTTATTGAGTGGAAACTTCGGTGAACATTTTATTTCACGTTCGGCACGGGTCCATGGGCCGCTCAGATCGTGCGATGTAACGCCTTTTGATTAGACTATTCTTTGTGGAGCCACGCTAAATCTAATGTCTATACAGACAAGCCTGCTTCAATTGGCGCATTGGAGGACAACATTGAGGCATTTACTTGTGAGATACCAGCTTGAAATGTTGGAAAGAGTATGCCAAAATTGGACTAAGCGGATAGACAATTTGAGGTGCAGACATGGTCAACATTTGCATGAAATAATTTTTAAACATTAAAATTTGTGATTTCATGCATTTTTCTGAATTTTATGTTTTTTTTTTTTTTTTTGAAAAACTTTCTTAAAGCTCTTAAAAAATCACCCTTTATTACACCCCCAAGCGTCTCTGAAAATCAATTATAAATTTCTGTTTTGATAATGACGTTAATATGGTTGGACCATCAAAAATTTATGGGTGGTATTAACTGGTTTGAATTGGTTTAGCAAAGCGGAATACCGTTTTACCTATTTTAAAATGAAATTCTTGGAAAACAAGGAGCACTCCATTGAAGAGTGATCAGCGAAGCTTAGCTTGATCAATAACAATACTTTTCAATTGCTTCAAATTTTTTGGGTATACATGTACAAAAAATATTAAATATACATACAAAAATATATATGAGTAAATATATATATGTGGTTGTACAAAACAATCCACTCATAGGAGAATTGGGATTTCCCTATGCCGCAATTTCGAATCGAAGTCATTAAAACTAAACACTAAAACACTAAACTAAATAAACTAAAAATGGAAAAAATAATATAATTACAAATTAAATAAATTAAAATTAATTAATTAAATAAAACGAAAAAAAATATAATTAAATAAAAGAAAATAAAAGAGAAAATAAAAAATAAAATATAAAATAAAATAAAAAAATGCTGAATAAAATAAGATACAACAAAGTAAAATCAAACAAAAAAAATTACGACAAAACAAATATTGAAATAAAATGATAAAACATATAAAAAAAAATAAAAATTATATAAAATAAAATTAGTAAAATAAAAAAGAATTAAAAAAATTAAATTAAATAAAATAAAGTCAAATATAACAAAATTAAATAAAATAAACAATAATAAAATAAAATAAAAACTAATACAATAAAAAAAATTAAAATGAAACAAATAAAATAAAATAAAATAAAATAAAATAAAATAAAATAAAATAAAATAAAATCAAATAAAATAAAATAACACAAAATAAAATAAAATAAAATAAAATCAAATAAAATCAAATAAAATAAAATAAAATAAAATAAAATAAAATAAAATAAAACAACATAATAAAATAAAATAAAATAAAATAAAATAAAATAAAATAAAATAAAATAAAATAAAATAAAATAAAATAAAATAAAATAAAATAAAATAAAGTGGAAAAAAAATAAAATAAAATTATAATAAGCTATATTAAATAAAATCTACTGTTTTTAATAACCTTTTTAGTAGGCGTTTTTATTTCCATATATATTTTGCACTTATTGTAGTAATTTCTTAAAAAATATTTTAACATTTACAACGAAAATTTTTTCCACATCAATAACACATTTCCGTCGGTATTGAATATTCAAAAACTAAAAACCTCCAAGTTAAAAACAAATTGGCTCATCACATATGAACTTCCATATCGATATATTAGCGCACACTCACTTATACACTGCTATATGTGTATGTATTTATAAAAGTGTGCAAAAGTTTTAACCTCACAACACTCATATGTACATTTCAAGTTCATGTACGTAGCGTATGATTTTTCAATATTCATTTAACACTTTCGATCAATTTAGACACATGCAGATGTGTGTTTTGCATATAAAATACTTAATTACGACCTTTTTTACACAACCATTTCACACAAAAAACACTTTTTCTGTACTTAGTCATTAAATTTGATGGTAAAAAAAAATGTAGAGTTCTAAAAGCTTAGCACACGCGGTCCTATTTACGAGTATGTAGGTTTGTTTGTGTGCACCAGTATATGGCAAGTGGAAGTAATTTAAATTTTTATTGCTAACTAATTTTGTATTATAAATAATTTGTTTTAGTTTAACGAAAATTAATAGTAAAATAAGGAATAGCAAAAAATTCAAAAAGTTGCCGCAACCTCCGAAATCGGTGCGAATGACACTATAATGTGACACTTTTTGACGGTTATTTTATTAATGACCGTTAATGCCTTAAATTTATATATAGCTTGTGCTAACTTCAAAGAAAATATATTATATTGTATATATATATATATATGTATGTATATATAGAAGGCGCTTTGTAGCCATTGGGCTCCTCCTCGAATTTGTGTGTCTTGATGTTTCTACAAAAAATGGAGGGCCCTAAGGTTTATAGCCCATAAGCCCATAAAACACGCAAAATAGTCAACAACTTTTCTTATGAGCGGTAGCCGAACCGAACGTGAATGTGCTTGAAGGCTTCGAATAT